CAGCACAGGGCGGGGTGGAATCCCACCTGGGGGTGGGGCTACTGGGTTCTCTGATGCTGCTGCTGCTCAGGGGGAGTGGTCTCTGCCTGACCAAAATGGCTGCTGCCGCATGGGGGATGAATCAGCACCGAGATCCCACAAGCTTTTCTCTCAGTTCTCTCCCCAAAGTCTCCTTCCCCAGTCTCTCGTCAGGCATCTCCAGCCCACTCTGCCCTCGCCTTTGCCGGAGACCAGGGTAAGTGACTGCAAATAAAAATGTATGTGTTGGCCCTTTAAATGGCTCTTTGTGTCTCCAGCCACCTGCCTCTGGCAGAGAGCAACCCTGACGTTTTTCGCAGCTGGCTGTTTTCTGTGTACTTTTTGGGCTCTGGTGCTGTAGGCTGGAGATGCCCGCCCGCTTATAGCTTAGACCCCACTATTCTCAGAGGGATCTAACTGGCCCTTTCAATATCCTTCTGGTGCTGCTGCCTGTGGGTGTCCCACCCACCTTCTTGTGTCTCTACCACACTCCTTACCAGTTAGATTGTGCTAAAGCTGATTCTTTTGTCTCCAAGGTTATAAGGCTCCTCTCTTGCTATTGTCATTTGTTCCAGGTGATTTCTCCACAATTTAGTTGTAATTCCATGTTGGTCCTGGGAGGAGGTCAGTGTGACTTCTACTCAATCCTCCACTGTCTTGATTCCTCTCTACTACAGCTTTTATATCCACTCATCTGATGAGCACTTGGATTGTTTCCAGATATTGACTGTTGTATATATCCATTTGAATTGGTGTTTCAGGATTCTTAGGATATATTCCCAGCAGTAGGATCTTTGAGTTTTTAATTTTTTGAGGAAACTCCATACTGTTTTCCATAATAACTGAACGTATTTACATTTCTACCAACAGTGCATAAGGGCTCCCTTTGCTTCACATTCTCACCAACGCTTATCTCTTGTCTTTTTGACGACAGTTGTTCAAACAGGCGTGCTATCTTACTGCAGTTATGATTAGTGATGTTGAGCATCTTTTCATGTAATTTTTGGCCATTTGGATGCCTTTGGGAAAATTTGTTTCCTTTGCCCATTTTTAAATCAGATTTTTTGTTATTGAGTAGTATGAGTTCTTTATATATTTTGGACATTAACCCTTTATCTGATATATGCTTTGCAAATATTTCCTCCCATTCGGTAGGTTGCTTTCCATTTTGTTGTTTCTTTTTTTGTGCGAAGCTTTACAGTTTGATGTAATCCCACTTATCAATTTTTGCTTTTGGTGTCATACCCAAAATAATCATTGCTAAGACCAATGTTGAGGAGCTTCTTTCCTGTTTTATTCTAGAAGTTTTACAGTACCAGGCCTTACGTTTACCTATTTGACCTACCTGAAGTTATTTTTTGTGAATGGAGTAAGATTAGGGGTCCAATTTCATTTTTCTTCAATGTATCCAATTTTTCAAACACCATTTTTTGAAAAGACTATTCTTTACATTGGGTGTTGTTGGCTCCCTGTTGAATATTAACTGTGTGGTAATTTAATTCTGGATTCTCTATTCTGTTCCATTCTATGTGTCTATTTTTCTGCCAGCACCATACTGTTTTAATTACTATAGTTTTGTAGTAGTTTGAAACCAGGGAATGTGATGCCTTCAGCTTTGCTCTTTTTTCTCATGATTCCTTTGGATGTTGGGGGGTCTTTTGTAGTTTCCTACAAATCTTAGGATTTTCCTATTTCTGTGAAAAATGGGTAGTCTGGACATTTTAACGTTAATACTTCTCTAACCCACATGTGTGAAATATCTTTCCATTTGTCTTTGATTTCTTAAAACAAAGTCTTGTAGTTTAGCTTTTCATTGTATAGACCTTTCATGGTTAAAATTACTCCTGGGTACTTTGTTTTTGATGCCATTATGAATGGGATCGTTGTTTTTGTTTTTGTTTTTTTAAGATTTTATTTATTTTTAGAGGGGAAAGGAGGGAGAAAGAGAGGGAGAGAAACATTGATGTGGGGAACAGTGATGTGTGAGAGAAACACTGATTGGCTGCCCCTCCCATGCCCCCAGCTGGGACCTAGCCTACAAGCTAGAATTGAACCAGCCACCTTTGAGTTTGCAGGATGATGCCCAACCCATTGGGCCACACCAGTCAGGGCAGAGTAGTTCAAGTGTTTCATTTTTGGTATATAGAAATGTAACTAATTCTGATATGTTGACTTTATATCCCACAACTTTATTGAATATTGATTAGTTCCAACATTTTTAAAAGATTTTACTATTTTTAGACAGAGGAGAAGAGAGGGAAAGAGGGAGAGAAACATTAATGTGTGGTTGCCTCTTGCACACCCCCTACTGGGGACGTGGCCCACAACCCAGGCATGTGCTCTGACTGGGAATCAAACCAGTGATTCATTGGTTCACAGGCCCATGCTTAATCCATGCCACCACACCCACCAGGGCAGTTCTAACATTTTTATGGATGTTTTTGGGATTTTCTGTATAGACAGACCTCAGATCATGTAGACTTTCTCATTTTTTCTTCTAATTGTGTAATTCCAATTTTCTAGGTCCTTTAATTCTGTCTTCCATCTGCTCTACTCTTAACACAGATGCTCTCTTCTATTCTTAATCTCATTCATTGATTTCTTCAGCTCCAGAGTTTGTTTGGTTCTTTTATTATGCTTTTGTTCATGTATTTTCCTTCCTAATGTCATCTTTATAAGCAGGGATACATTCCAAGATTCCCAGTGGATGCCTGAAGCTGCAGATATCAAACCCTAAAAATACTATATTTTATTCCTTACGTAAGTTACCTACAATAAACTGTGCACAGTAAGAGATTAACAATATAATCGAAAACAATTATACTGTAATCAAGTTACATGAATGGCTTTGGGGCCATTGTTAAGCAGAGTAAGGGTCACTTGAACATAAGCACTGCACTTTTGCTAAACTCAATCTGAGAGCCATACAGCATGGCAGCAATGGACATAGGGATGACACACAACCCAGGCAGGATGGACGAGGATGGCATGAGGTTTCATCACACTACTCAGGACCGGGCACAATATGAAACATCAATGTTTATTTCTGGAATTTTCCACTTAGTATTTCATAACTGAAAATGAAAAAAGCAAAACTGGTGGGAAAATACTGTATTCTGAATTCTTTATTAGCTAGATTACAGTGTTAAGTGGCTTTGAGCTTGGTTGGTGGAGAAATTACCTTTTGGGAGTGATGTTTTCCTGATTTTTCATGTTCCTTGTATTTTTGTGTTGCTGTTATCACATTTGGGGCAACAGGCATCTCCTTAAATCTTTACTGGTTGTCTTCAGATAGGACACAGATTGTGAGTGTTGGTGTTGCTACATCAAGGCTTCCTTAGTTTTGAATGGGAAGATTTGTTCCTCTTTTAATCACTCCCTCTTGTGGCAGAATACTTAATCTTTCATATCTTTTCTTGTAACTCGCTGGCCCGGCTGCTGGAAACCTCTTTTGTTTTCCAGAAAGTGGTGCTATATCTCCAGTTTATGGTTTCTCTCTTGCTCACAGATCCTGGTGTTTTTTTCTGAGAACACTCTGATTATTGGATCCGCTTTTGCTACCGCACTCAGGAGCATATACAAAGGTCTGACCACAGTGGGAGAGGGTGTAGGTGTAGCATTTGGGGTGTTGGAGGTACCCACAGACCTGGTGGGGAGATTGAGAGGAATACTCCAGAGGCTGTGGGCAGATTTCCCAATGACGTCCTCAAGTAGTCAGAAGGACCACTTGATATTTTCATACGCCTTGATATTCTCCTCTGTGTCTTTCACTTTCTCTTCCCTCCCCTCAGTAACGACGTGCTGCCACAGCACTCTGGGTGCTGCTGGAGAGAAAAGGATTTCTCTAGTTGCAACCCACACAACTGGGATAAACAGGGGTTTACCCACGGCTTTCCACCTCCTCGGCCAGCGGACAGCTTAGCCCCACGCAGCTAGGTGCTGAGTAGTTAACTGGCAACAAGAGAGCGTTTCCTTTTCATGTCTTGTCTCTAAAGCTTCTAACACACTCCATCATTTACTTTTACAAAAATTTAATAGTGTTAAAAAGGAGGAAACTATTTTGTTCGCTGAAAGACTAGAATTAAATACTATTACAGTAGATTTTCATTCATGAACAAAGAAGAGTTTAAAAGAAAAATGGCATACTTTGAAAGGTACCATGTAGCCACAATGATACTTAAAATATTATAATTATAAAAAATTAGATAACACAATGAGAATGAAAATAAGTTATATTCATCTTTCATCTTTTCTAAAGAACAAGAAAATGTTCCAGAAAAAGAGAACTGACTAAAGATTATAGGAATAAATTTTATGGTATACTGATAGGACCCCAAATGTTTTAAGAAAGACCTTTTCTCTAACTCAGTAAACAAAAGAGCTTCAATATGATGAGTTCTTCACTTTCCCTTTTATATTAAGGGAATAAATATGGTCATACTTAAAAAAGGTATGAAAAGAGAGGAAGAGGACATTTAAATATTTGGGAAAAATATGGGTGTAACAATTCAAATAGAAGTAAAGGCTTAGTTTGCTTTTATATATGTCGCTTTGTTACTGCTTATATAAACAATTTATAAGGGAAAGTAGCTTTCTAAAAGTCTAGTAAAAAGTGGTAGAAATTTTTGGCAATTTTTGTTCTTACTTCTTAGGCAATGCATCCATATTAGAAAAAAATAAGCTCTAAATTGATCATCACAATTTATTTATAACCATTTCATGTTATGGATTTAGGTACTGCATTTTATCTCAGCAGACTATAATACACAAGTAGTATAAAATGGGATTTACATATGTTAGCAGGAAATAAAGGTGATGTAATAACTGCTGTTAATGATTTTCACTTTTAAAAATTCATTTTAAAGGAATACATTTCTGTCAAACTTAAGTGGACTCCTTCAAAGCCCAAAGAAATGTAATTTAACTCAAATTTTTAACAAGTTATTAAAAGACAATGTATGATATAAATTAAAATGCATCTTAAGAAGTTCCAAAAATACTTATTAAATATAAGATGTTAACTCTGGTACATAAGAAAATATTTACAACTAATAAAAAGCAGACTGTAGAATATACATGTTCTGTGTATAAAAAATAAGTAAAATATTTATAGTCCAGACCCAGGGATCTTTTCTAAACAAGGTTTTATCTGTGCAACTACATTACAATACCATCTCACCAGCCTTACGGGAGCGCACATATGCATGGAAGAAACCAGACTATGTTTGTGATTTATAGCTCATACTGCCTTTTCAGGGCTTGTACATCTTCTAAAGTAAAATGCTTGTTTGGGGTATCTGCGAGGTCACCAAAAAGCTGTTCAAGTTGCTCCTTTTGGCCCTTGCTAATTAGTGTCAACATCATCTGAAAGAAAGAGAAAAATTGTACTAGCTAAAACATTAACATTTTAAAGTTACAGAAAGCCTGAAAAGAAATCAATTATCTTTTACTAAAGATACTTTGTTGCTTACCTTAAACCTCTCTGCTTTACTCAGATATAAAAGATGTTGATATACCAATGAGGGATCTTTATCAATAAGATCATTTTTCAGAGACTGAATGAGGAGGAAGAACATATCCCCTTCCAGTTTGTTACTCAACAACGTTGGCAAATCTTTCGGTTCCGTGATGGCTAAAAGGTGTGCACAGGCTTCTGCATCTTTCCTGGTGCTGATAGCGTTGATGACCTGACCAAATTCATAGGCATTGCTGGGCTTGGTGATGGGCAGTCTTGCACGGCAGCCCGGTGGGCCGCGGCGGGTGCCCTGCTCTGAAGCACCGTAGCCGGCGCTCCCCTCCTCGGAGGGCCCTGCCGGCCCGTCATGGCCTTCGCTTACCTGCATGTGGGAAAAACGACACTGGGACACACTCACCAGCCACTGCACACACCCCAAGTTACATTTCTTAAAATGGGAAGGACCGGAGAAGTGTGAGTTTACTGTATTTGAGTCAAGTTCTAAGTGAAAAATGTATAATTTGTAATAAATCATAAAATCTTTGTGGGGCAAGTTTTAAGGTTAGTATTCATTCATGGAAGTATTTTTTAGGTTTAAAATATTTTTAACATTGAAAATGAAAATTGTTATTTACAATTTTCCATGAATGGAGCTACTATATAAAAGACCTTCAACAACTTTCTCTCTTTTTCATAACTTTTAAATTTACTTATTTATGTTTAATAGAAGTAAACTTATATTTTTCAATTTTCTGAAAACAGTTTTTCTTCCCTTTTTAGAGGATAAACACTTCCTAGCCTCTCGCATTTTAGCTTCTAACTCTAAAGTAGAAATGTAATATGATAAATGAGATGATAATTAGTATTCATGAACACAGAAGAATTCATGACTGACATTCTTCACTAAAGGCCAAGCAGAAAGCTCCTGCGCAAGACACTGAGTTATCTGAAACCGGAAAGGCAGGTTTGAATCCGGGGCAGTCCAAGATCTCTGACGAAGCCAGTCTTGTCTCCAAGTGCTAAAGGGTCTGAATCAAACTGGAAAATCTCTATGCGGTGTGGCTTGTAGGGCCTTTGAAACAAAATCAGTCCTGTCAGGATTTTCCAGGTTTACCGTGAAGCAAAGCTCAATCTCCCAGAGCAGTCTGGAGTGGGAGCAATACGAAACACGGGCCAGCTGGGGGTGGGGGGTAGGGCAAAGAACAGAAGGGCCTAATACAGACTCCCAGTGCCATCCATGGACCCAACTGGCAAAACACAAGGGCTAATCATCATGGCAAAGGGAAAGTCTGTCTTTATAATTGGTTAAAATTTCTTCATTGAGCATCACAATAAAAACACAAAATTTAAAAAATTTTTGTAGAACTCATAGGAATATGACCTTAGAATCCGATAAACAATCCCCCAAAAGTACTTTCAAAGATAATAAAATACAAATACCTCTTGAATCTCAATTTTCCTTCTCTCCTTTTCTTTGTTGAATGATGCTGTTTTATCCTTCACATTAAGGAATCTGGTTACCTCTTCCAGTTCCATCTTTGCCTCAACAATATTTGAGTCTAGTAGGAGAACTTTATTGAGATCATTTAAACTTTTCTCATAATCCTGAAAGTAGAAAGGCAGGGAGGGAGAACAACTGTCATAGGTAACAGAGAAGGGGCACAGACTAGAAAAGCGGGAGTGAGAATGCTCGGAGTGATGCGGTGTGTTTCCGTTAGGACCACGATTAGAAAGTTGGGCCTGTGCTGCAACACCTGGGCTAGAATATTATATAACCCACACATGGCAAACATCCTTTTGAAAAGACAGGACACAGCCCTGGCTGGTGTGGCTCAGTGGATTGAGCGCCAGCCTGCAAGTCAAAGGATTGCCGGTTCAATTCCCCGTATAGGGCACATGCCTGGGTTGCAGGCAAGGTCCCCAGCAGCGGGCACACAAAATGCAACCACACATTGATGTTTCTCTCCCTCTCTTTCTTCCTCTTTTCCCCTCTCTCTAAAAATGAATAAACAAAATCTTAAAAAAAATAAAGAGGCAGGACACAGACTCTGGACTTAGAAGACTCAAGTTAAATTCTGTATCACCATAACCTTCACGGTGTCTAACACATGGTGCGCATTTGTTGTCTGCTAAATAAACGAAATAATGAACACCCTACTAGCAGTGAAACTTAAACCAGACCCCAGTTTATCTTTCTGAGCTTCAGTTTTTCTTATCTTTAAAATAAGAATAACAAAAGTTTCTCTATTCTAGTTTTCACAGGGCTGTATCAAGTAATAAATGAATTAAAATAATAGGAGTGGCTTAAACTTATAAAGGACTATGCAAATGTTAGTTGTTAACACATTATCTTGTTCCATAAAACCTTTCAAAGTTTTATACTGTTCACATAGACTAGAGTTGACATTTATTCTTCCAAAAAGAGTCAGACAATATATTGAAGAGGTCAAGGAGAAAGAAAAGAAATCCAAGCTTAACAAAACACAGCATGGAATCTAGTAGCAGAGCCATAAACCACAAAGTCAGCGCATTGTGATAGGCCATATTCTAGAATTATAGACTGGACCCATGTTTTAATCCAAAATTAGTTTTGTGAGGAGGCGAAGAATTTCAACACTGAGTAACCCCTCTGCGTATTCATGATCTATCAGTAACAGCATACAATGTAGACTGAGGCAGAGGACAGAGAAGCCAGTGTTATGGGACAATCAGGAAGGACTAGCTGTAACGCTACATCTCCTCCCGCTCCCCCCAGCAACACACCAGAACAAGAGTGATGGAGTGATGAGTTTAAAGACATGACCTTAAGTCTTCTCTAATTTATAAAAAGGAAAAGGTAAACCTATTTACAAACTGTAGTACATTATGTACAATGAGTAACAAATCTCTACACACCACTGTGTCACAACAGCACAAGAGCAAACTGTTACAAAAAAAAAAAGAAATAGCATTGCATTTCTATCCTACGTGTTGTAGGTGGGGACCATACTAAAAGGCAAGGAAGTGGGGCAGCAGGGCAAGGTGAGGGAGTAATTACAGCCGATTCTTACGGCTCTCATCCCTTCACAAGTAGTAGTATTTTACTCTCACAACAGCCCTCTAAAATACTAACTTTTATGGTCTCCATTTTAAAGATGAAGAAACTGAGGCACAGAACGATCATCTTTGGGATGACCAAGGCAGCAAGGGCCAGGCGTGAATGGTACTGTGGCTGTGGAGCTCAAGCCAGAGGACCGAAAATCGAGCTTTGTGAGCTACAGCCTTGGAAATGGAAGTCCAACGCCACAAACGTCAGTACGATTTCTCCATCCATTCCAGAAAAGTCGGTGCTTGAAGAGCAATCTTGTTTGGTTGAAAGAGACTTAAGAAAACAGGAAATACACTTGATAAATGTTAAACCAGAGGCAGGCAAGTGTGACAAGAGGGCAGAGCAGGAGGAGTAGGGATGGCATCAAGCGGGGGAGGCAGTGGGAGACACGGGGCCAGCCTGCCAGGCCCCCAGAGCGGGCAGGCGAGGTCCATCCACCTAGCCGGTGGCCACGACCACACCCGTGGGCCAGGAACGGGGAACGGCGTGGGAGAAAGAACAGCTGTGGTCCCGCCATAATGGAAGCATACATCTTATGAAGGGAAACAATAAAAGGCAAGTAAACAAATGATGAAATAAAATTAGTATGGACTGTCATTGAAGCAATTAAGAAAACCAAAGCTTGAGATGGCTCCTAAGGAGGGCTAAGGAGTGTCCCTTTGACATGGCTGTCAGAGAGTACAAGGCCTGCAGAGGAACCGGCTGTGCGGAGTGGAGGGAGGAAGGAAAGCTAAACAAAGAGAAAGGTGTGGCTCTGGCAGAAAAATGGACATGGACGTTAAAAGTTACTATTGACCTCATCAGGCCTTAAAAAAACGATGAAGTATAATTACATGGGTTTATGATAACATTTACTACTAATAGATGTGCTTAAACTCTAATCACAGTAATTATTTTATAAGATCTTACTCTTTTTGAGACCTTGGTCTTGTAGCATCCCCAGTTGGCTGTAAACCCCACAAGGCAGGAATCATGTCACCTCTATGCTCCCCAAACCTAGCACATAGGTGACACTCAATCAAAGAAACAAGTTGTAAGCAACAGGAAATGTTCAGTTATCTCTTCTTGTGAGGAACAACTGTACATTAAGGGAAGCTCTGTATTTGCCAAACCAGCACACAGAAAAAAAAAATTAAAGCCAGCTGGAGAAAAAACCAAAGATCCAAGAAAGCAGAGTGGTCCACAGACAGCTCAAGGCAGGGTGCAGGCCACTGTGGGCCCCTGTACTACCTCCTCGTGTCCGTCACCTGAGGAAGCAGGTCCTGGCATGAGGGATGCAAGTATAAACAGCCACAGCCTTTGCAGATCCTGCAATTAAACTCACTTGGCACATAACTCAAATGACAGGTACATAAGTCAAACTGTAAGAAGTCAAACCAGAAAACTAAGATGCTGGCCTCATAATTCAGTGGGATAGGATTACTCAAATATGGGATTATCTTTCTGCATTATAATACAATTTCTAGAATTCATTCCATGGAAGTATAAAATTCTGGTCGTTCGTTAAGTATGTCTTCTGACTTTTAGTCCGTCAGGTAAACAAATTCAGAGTCAGGCAGCCAGAATGAGGTAAAGCTGCTGGAAGAGTGTGGACATATATAAACTCATGAGTCATGCAGATCCACCACCATGCACCCAAACTCACTAAGGTCAATAAAAGTTGAGTTAATTTTGCCCAGGCCAGGTGGCTGGGTTGGTTGGAGCGTCATCCTGTGCACCAAAAAAGATTGCAGGTTCAATTCCTGGTCAGGGCTCATACCTAGGTTGCGAGTTCCATCCCCAGTTGGGGCATGTACAGGAGGCCACTGATCCATGCTTCTCTCTGACATCAATGTTTCTCTCTCTCTCCCTCCCTCCCTCTCTTTCTCTAAAATCAATAAACATATCCTCAGGTGAGGATATAAAAAACTTATTTTTAAAATGTCCACACTACCCAAAGCAATCTACAGATTCAATGCAATCCCTATCAAAATTCCAATGGCATTTTTCACAGAAATAGGAAAACCCTAAAATTTGTATGGAACCACAAAACACCCCAAATAGCCAAAGCAATATTGAAAAAGAAGAACAAAGCTGGAGATGTCACACTTCCTGATTTTAAACTATATTACAAAGTTATAGCAATTAAACCAGTACCATATCGGGGATACACAGAGACATATCAGAGAAAAAGAACAGAGCCTAGAAATAAACCCTCACATATATGGTGAATTAACTTATAAGAAAGGAGTAAAAAATTCCTTGGAATTTTTGGGACCATAAGGACCATTATAGGAACCATAAAACCAGAAGAAAACAGGCCGCAAGTTCTTGGCGTTGATTTTTTTGGATTTGACACCAGAACCAAAGGCCACAAAAGCAAAATACAGAAAGTGGGACTATATAAAACTACAAAGTTTCTGTATGCCAAAGAAAACCATTAACAAAGTGAAAAGGCAATGTACTGAGTAGGAGAAAATATTAGTAAATCATATCTGATAAGAGATTATAAATATTCATATCTGAATATTTATAATATTCAAAATATATAAAGAACTCATACAACTCAATCTCAAAAGAACAATCTGATTAAAAGATGGGCTGAGGAACTGAATAGTCATCTTTCCAAAGATGATATGGGCAACAGGTATATGAAAAGGTGCTTGATACACAAATCATCAGGGGAATGAAAATCAAAACCACAAGATATTGCTTCACACTTGTTAGAATGGCTTTTATCAAAAAGACAAATAATAACAAGTGTTGACAAGGATGTGGAGAAAAGAGAGCCCTTGTGCGCTGTTGAGAATGTAAATTGGTGTACCTACTATGGAAAGTAGTATGGAGGTTCCTCAAAATTAAAAACAGAATTGCCTTAGGACCTAGCGATCCCACCTGTGAGTATATATCCAAAGAAAACCAAAACACTAACACAAAAAGACGTTCATTGCAGCATTATTTACAATAGCCAAGACACGGAAGCAACCTAAATGTCCATCAATGGAAGAATGGATAAAGAAAATGTACATATATGCACTGGAATATTATTCAGCCACAAAAAAGAAGGCAATCCTGTTATTTGTGACAACATGGATGGACCTTGAGGGCATTATGCTACGGGAAACAAGCCAGACAGAGAAATACAATTATCATATGACCTCACTTATAGGTGGTATCTAAACCAACAAACAAAAAGACCTGAACTCATAGATGCAGAGAACAGATTGGTGGCCGCCAAATTGGTGAGCTGGGGGATAGAGAATGAGCAAAATGGGTGAAGGTGCTCAAAAGGTACAAACTTCCAATTATACAATAAAAAGTCATGAGGATGTAATGTAGAGTATGGTGACTGTGGTTAATAATACTGTAAGATATATCTGATACTTGCCAAGAGAGTGGATCTTAGAAGTTCTCATCACAAGAAAAAAATTGTAACTGTGTGGTGACAGATGCTAACAAGACATAGTGTCAAGACCATTTTGCAACACATACATATAGCAAAGCATTATGTTGTATGCCTGAGACTACTATTATATGTCAATTAAAAAAATCATTATAGAGAAAAAAGATCTAAGACCTGCACACTTTCAATATGTGAGTTTCATTATATTGGATCTAGACCTTAGTCAAATTGACTTTTAAAAAATAACCATTTCAGAAAAAGTCATTTTGTTCTGTATGTTCTGATTTTTCCTTGTGATGTTATTTTCTACAAACGTGAACAGGCATTCAGCATAAACAAAAGTGTAATTATACAACACTTTCTTTGAAAGTGTGATTTTCTTAAAGAAGAATGCCTTCTATAGTCTTATACTGACTACCAACAAGTTTAAGGGCCAAATTTCTATGAGCTCCCCAATTTCTGATACACCTCCACCATCTTCCACCCTGATGCCTTCCTCCCACCCCACAGACAACGCTGACCCTTCGCTGGAGAAATCCAATGGCACTGCTGGTGGCCTCAAGTAATTCAGTCAAAAAGCATTCCTATCCCTTAAAGTGGACTTAATTGTAACTAGCAACACTCCTTTTAAAATCAGGAAATAAATCATAATTTTGGAAATTATCTAGCTCCACATTATAATGAGGGGAAATCTGAGGCCTATTCCAAGGTTTTAGGACTGGTTAGCTAATCTCACTCCCATTCCACGATCCCAAGATGGATCTTCATGGAAAGCACAGGATTTGTTCACAGCTGAACTTGATACATTAAAATGAAGATGTCCTCACCTTGAGTCCTTTATGAGCAAGAGCTCGTCTATAGTACGCTTTCACGTTCCCGTTATCTATCTGAAGCGCCTGATCACAGTCCTGTTTTGCCTCTTCAAACTGGCACAGCTTCAAGTAACAGAGGGCTCTGGTATAATGTAATGGAACTCAGCATTATGAAAGGGAAAGACAACAAACCTATAAATTTAGACAGCTAAGAAAATCAGAAAATAGCTCAATAAGTATATTTCTATACCACAGCAGTATCTCAAATGAAACTTAACACTTAAGTTCAATTATGGCATTTTCTGGCAACTTAAGTAATTATAGCTTTGGGGATATAACTGCAAACAAAGCACAGCTCCAGCCTTGAGGAAGAGACAGAACAATTAAAATAAGCAAACACCATAAAATTTCTGCATAGGATGCTCTGGGAGAACACAGCTGGGAATCTTATCTGACCCGGGGAGCTGAGGAGAGGGGAGGAGCAGTCAGAAAAGACTTCCTGGAAGAAGTTACATTTACGTTGAAGCCCAGGTTATCAAAGAGAACTATCCAAAGCAAAGGCACTGGGGCGAGAGCTTAGATGTAAGGGAGAGTAGAGGCCAAGGGCACAGTATGCGCATAGTTCTATGGTGACAGAGACCGTGATGTTCCTGATGGAGTGAGAGAGGTGCCATGTGGCCGCAGAGCAGGGATGAGACCAGAAGAGTGGGCCCACGTGATCACCAGGGGCCTTGAAATCATGGCAAGGAAGGTGAGCTGCATGCTGAACCCAAGGGGTTTTTAAATAGGGGCCGACATGTTCACTGTGTGTAGGAAGATCACTCTTGCTGCAACTCGGTGAGAGAAGAGGGAACAAGACTGCGCAGGAACACTGCGAAGGGTGTTGCACACATCTGGAAGAGACAGTGGTCATCCCGAGCAGGAAGTGATGGTGACAGTGGGGAGAAAGGCTCCCACGGAGGAAGGTAGGACATCGAGCGTCTGATATACTCGGAGAGGGAGGCATCCTAGGTCAGGGGGGTAACCCGACATGAGAGCAGAAGGGTGGGGAGAGCTCAGGTCCGAGACTCAGAGACAGACTTACAGGCCATAACTGGAAGGTGGTAAATGGACCCGCAGAAACAGTGAAATGGCCAGAGAGCACAGAGAGCAAAAAAGGGTCTACACCTACGAAACCCCAAGGACACCAAGGGGGACCAGGCAGGTGAGCTGTCTGCTCTGCCTGCTCTGGGAGACAATGGTCTCCAGGGAAAACTGAGTGGCCATCAATGCTCAATTCCACAGAGGCTGAACAGAAGGGTAGAGAAATACCTGCTGGAGTTAGTGACACATTTTTTGGCAAATATATTACCGGAGGAAAACATATAAGAAACCAAGCAGTGAGAAGTTCAGTTAAAAAGAATTCATCTGATATAGCTAGAAAAACTCATGCTGAGTCCCTATTCTTCAGGAACTGTTACTTACTTTTCCTTGTCACTCCAGACTCTACGTACTCACCCAGATTCCCCAGATGACCATATCCTAGGTAACCATCTTTTACCCAAATGTGGAAAAGATGGCGCCCGAGCAGCATGTTAGAACAATCTGCCCATTCCTACTGCACGCCAAAAGATGCTGGTCCCTTCCCTTACACTTCAAGGGAAAGGGCATGTAAGACACTAATTTGAAAGGCAGGTGTTCCTGCTCCTGCCAAGCTGGACGATGCCCGGGCCTGTAGCTGCAGCAAGGCCAGTCGGCCGGGCAGGGTCGCAGGAGCAGCCCCAGCCAGAACGGCGGCCTGTGCATAACGCAGCCACCCAGGCCCCCCGGCTCGCCGCACCGCATGCCTTCGCTCTCCCGAGGACTCCCACGAGTTCTAGGGATGGCCCCCACCTCTTAGACAATTTCCTATATACATTCTCAGAACCATGGGAAAAATTTTTGACAATTAATTTGCCTATATTTTTTAATCAAAAATATTAACGTAAGAAATTAGAGAGTTAAAAAGAACTTGCCTGTTTGTATAAATGGCACACTCCTTATTGTTAATATTTAAGCATTCGCTGTATTTACTAAGAGCATCTTTATAGTTTTTGTCTTTTACACACTGATTTCCTTCTTCTTTAAGAGTCTGAAACATATTTTCATCTATGAAATTCAAAAAATAAAAAAAAAGAGGAAGTATTTGTACAAGCAACTCTACAAAATCTTACATACATCTAAAAGTAAATCTTCTACTGACCCCATACGATGCAGAACTCTAGTCCAAATGGAACAAAACTTTGTGTACAATTAAAAAGATAAATTGGCTAATATACAAAAGTGATTATACAATTATGACACTTGAAAACAAAATACAAGTAGTTCTATTATTTCATCCATACTGGCATGCCTTTTCTCTGCTACAGATACAAAAATCTAGTGGTTTTTTGTTGTTGTTGTTCAAATCCATTTGTCTCCATTTTCCTGCCACCACTTTCCCCTGCCCCACCCACCCCCACCTCCCACCCTCAGTCCTTCCCCACTTTGGCTTTGTCCATGGGGCCTTATAAATGTTCCTTGATTTGACCCTTCCCCTTGTTTTAAAAATCTAGTGTTTTGCTAAATAACTATTTCATGAAAAGTAAACAAATGAATCCATTAAAGCCTTTAGGAGACATTTGTCCAGTACCCCAAATTTCTTTGGAAAACCATACCTCCTCCACCTCCCTCTCCTGTGGTTTAAAGAAAACCCCCCAGCTTTACTTTTGGGGTAATCTTTGTTTTTTGGGGTTTTTTTTTTTTGGTCAGCACATTATATTCCCTTGGCCAAAATAATCTAATTGGTCAGGGCTGGGCCTACGAGAGCCAGTGAGCTACAATCAGATTTCTGTGGCAGCATCTGGTAGGGTAATTCTTGCTCTTTCCTGTGGAATGAGAGCGAACGGAGGAGCTATGTTGCCATCGTAAGAGACGAAGGGAGAGGTTGTCTGAGAATGGGGCCAATGGAGCAAGAGAAAGGCCAAGACAGAGAGCTAAAGGAGAAAGTCTGAGTCCTAAATCCAGCTGTTGCCACAGCTACTCTTCCTGTGGACTTCTCCGTGGTAGGGACCATTAAGAGCTGGGTTTTGTTATCTGCAATCAGAGCATCCCAACTGCTATCATCAGCCATCGTCTTGCAGTGATCATGGCTGACTCCCTGCTCAGGATCCTCTTCCCTCTCTCTGAGGGAACCTCACCGCTGTCACCCTTCTCCGGGTCACCCCGATTGTCCAGGGGACGCTGAGCCTAAGCCAACAGGGCAAGGCGTGTCTTTATCATAGGGAGTGGCTCAGGGAACAGGCACATGGCCCATCAGAATAAGAATCAACAGAATTCAAGCTAACAGAACAACAGGATAAAACAGCTACAGCTTTGGGGAAACGTATTTGCTCATTCTTAAATTACTGCCACCAAAAGTAACAGTGTTTCTCTCCCTTTGGACATTGATATGTGCAGACATGAAGCCTAAATCTGCTATGGCTCCACTGTTTCCGGCCAAAGCCAGAACCCTAACGAGCGTGCATGATTGTGGGGCCCGCCTGGGTCCTTTCAGGTACCCGAGCCAAAGCCATGCCTCACAATTTAAGTCAATAGATTTTCCATTACTTGCAACCAAAGTTTTCCAACACACATAAAGTATTAAAATTTAAAGTTTTAAATCTATGTAGTAACTCTGTCCTATGAAATAACTTGATATAAAATAAAAATCCTTAACCGAAAATTTAAAATATACCTTTAAATTCTGTGATCTAAAAATCTTGAGACTTACTGAATTTATACTATAAACTTGAATGTAAATAATAACCTTCTCTGTCCCTCTGCACTAATGACATAAATATTAATTTTTCATTTTTTTAATTTCAAATAACAGAATATTTCTGCCTAACGTTTCAAGTTTCAAAGGGGTCAAATGACGCCCCCCCCCAAGGAATCCTGGCATATATAAGCCCTAAAAAAAAATTACAGGGGATTTCCCCCCTCAATTTGCTCAACACTTTCCTCCAGCTATTCTTCCAATGTTTGTAAGCCTTTGTTAATCCATTCTCACTAATAATCAACATAATATGAACAGAAAAAGTTGATTATACTCACTTATGGTTTGCTATCATATACCTCTAGTATGGTTAGTACAATATATGTACTTTATTAATAATAAATAGCTACCCTTCATCAAGCAAATACTTTGTGCCAGGCTCCATTAATAACAGACTCTAGAAAATGAAAGATCTCCGTGACTTCCCCAGGACTGCTAAATCATCTAAAAGCCTTGGCAGACGTTCCCTGCATCTTCTCTCAAGACTATAAAGAGGATGGGAGGACTAACACTAGACATTGGGATATCACAGCTCAAGGACCTCAGGGTTTCTGCAAGATGAAGCTCAACCCGGGATCACGCAAGGAGTCCCTAATAGGCAGGAGAAATGCGGCCTCCCTCAGCCAGCTGTAAAGCAGAGCCCTGGCTGGTGTGGCTCAGTGGACTGAGTGCCAGCCTGTGAACCAAAGGGTCGCCAGTTTGATTCCCTATCAGGGCACATGCCTGGGTTGTGGGCCAGGGGTGTGCGAAATGCAACCACACATTGATGTTTCTCTCCCTCTCTCTCTCTTCCTTCCCCTCTAAAAAAATAAATAAGTAAAATAAAAATCAAGCAGAAAAGATGAGTGCAGTCACATTTATTAACCACTCTGCACAAAGCCATGATGTAGGTACTATGGCAACGCAAATATGTTGACAACCTGATAAGGCAGAAGGAAGTACCTGCTAGCTATTTATGTTGTAGGGTGTTGTTTTTTTCAAACACATCAGTCTTACTGGTGTACTAGAGAACCATTCGCTACTTAATTCTTCTTATTGTTCATATAATGTGAACTTCAACTTTATGGAGGCTGCTATAATCTTACATAGTCAACATGTGCTAAGTATTTTATATGCATCTCCATTTATTCCTGAGAACACCACCATGAGATAGTTACTCCTATTAACCTCTTTCACATACACCAGGACACTGAAGTGTGAAGCAAGTTCTTGAGACTCTGTAGTTAGAAAGACGGAAAACAGGGTCTTAATCCCAGATCTGATGCCTAAATTCATGCTCTCACTGCTACTTTACTGTGAAAAGACACGCGGTTCAAAACAGCGCTCAGAAGAAAGCAGCGTAGGCCTCCCCCACCTGTGATGCCCGGTGGGCGACAGCTGCTGGAATCTTGCACTTGGGCTGGGGGCGTCTCTGCGGCCGGCCGCCACGTTCGCAGCTGCGCAGAGGTGGGCACAGAGGGTATGGGTGACAGCTTCTCCCGCCAGCTGGGTCCATCCAGATCCATTAAAATTCTTGTTATCCTAAAAAGAAAAGGAGTTTTTTCGACTGATCACCCAATTTGCATTTTACATTACTGAAGGTCCTATCCAGAGTTAAGATTTGTGTGTACAAATACTATGCATTTGTGTACTTCCCTGTAGAAAACACAATCTTGAGCCACAACTGACTTCAAGAGGACTTTTGGAAAAAAAAAAAGGCCCATGTAACTTTAGATCCTTTTTGTATCCAAAGAAAAACATTGCAACATTTCTAATAAGTTTAAATTTTTAAAAATGTATATATCAATAAAATTGAAAAGATGAAATATAAAAATAAAATTGAGGAGGCCTAGAAGAAATGTCCCACATAACACTTAATATAATTAATTCTACTATATATAACTAATTTGAGAATGTATTATTCCTGAGAATACTCAGAAGAACTTGGGAATTTACATGCCCAAACTGTATATACTACAGACAGGTGTACAAGTCTGGGCTAAAACTAGCTGTCATAGGGAATGCTGCTTTTTCTTAAAACACTTACATGTGGTTAAGATACTCTTACCTTGTATTTTCTCATCTCTATAATTATCCACTCATTTTATTTTCATATGCATAAAGAATAGGATCCTGGAGTCTAGTAGAAGGGCCCTTGTACTAATAACATTTACTAACAGTAATAGCCATTATAAAATTCAGATTAACATCCCCGATTATCACTTTCTCATCATTTTAAACATACAAAAACATCATACTTTTATTTACAAACAAAACAGAATTATATGTTTGGAACAAATCTGGTTTTAAAAAGGTGCTCCTCAAGACCGAAGGTTTACTAGTAATTAGTAGAATGTATTTAAGTCAGTTAACTCGGTAGTACTTCTAGGGTGAAAAATATTTATATTTATATAGAGACAAATATAATACCCATAATTTCCCTACAGTTTCATTAACTGAAATTTCAACAGTGATCTTTGGTTATATTTTAGTGTAAAAAAAAATTGAAAATAATGTATAACCACCCACAATGGCAAAAGAAAAAGCAGCTTTAGAAAAAAAGAACTTGTCAAGCAAACTTGCATTACCAGCAGAGTGGAAGGAAGCAGCAGCTGAAAAGAGATGATGTGCTGCCAGGGAGTAAATAAGTATATGCAGGGAAATTTAACATATAAGATTCCTAGAGAGGAAGAGAGGAATATGATTAACGGAAGACAGAAACAAAATAAGCACAGGTGTTTAAATTTTTTAAAAAACTGCTGTTGCTTAGATGGAAAAGCAAGCATAAATATGGGATTCATGAAAAGAATAGTGACATTTTTAAACTGGATATTTTACAGAAAAATATATAAGGCAATACCAGACAAAGCCTTCTCATCTTACATAGTGATACATCAACAAGAAGCATTCAATTAAAAAAAAATGAATGAGGCCCTTTTTAAAAAATGATTTGAGAGGAAAGGAGAGAAAGAGAGAGAGAAACATCAATTTGTTGCACCACATATTTATACATTAATTGGTTGGTTCTTGTATGTCTCTTGACCAGGGATCATACCCCCAACCTTGGCGTATCGGGATGATTCTCTAACCAACTGAGCTACCCAGCTAGGGCTAAGGTTCTTTTATCCAACTAGTAATTTTTAAATTTCATCTGAAAGCAACTTATGAAATCTGGAAATTCTTACCTTCCCATTCTCACTCATGAAGTAAATAGTTCATAATATAAATTAGATCTAAATTCTTTGTTATTTCACCATTATATTAAATTGATAGTAATCCTAGATGAGAGTCTATTTAAAGGGCTTATAACTCAAGTATCTAGCAGGCTTGTGAAGACATTCATTCTCCTGAGGAGAAGCAACAGGTGTGGCAGAAGTAAGGCCTGTTTGAGTGTGGTTGGTAGGGTAATAATATGGGTGTAATAATTTATAGTTTTAATTCGGACACTTCACCTAAAATGTCATATGGTGTGTTTGAGTGTGATATTGTTATATTACAGAATTAAATGCTTATGATTTTATAATAAAAGATTTTATAATAAAAGGGGGGGAATTATTTGTATCAGACCCTATATTTGCACTGACAGATGTGGTACCAACAAACATCTGCAAATCCTGTAAGAGTCAAAATGGCAGTTTTCTCAACACTTATTGATCTTGTCCTATAATTAGTACTGAGTTATGACATCACTGAAAACATCTTCCCAACCCCCCAGATATTTACAAATAATGAAGTTAAATTGTGCTTTTTGAGCTATACCCTGTGCTACTTAAAAACAACAACAACAAAAGAATATTCACTGTACAGCAATAAATAGACGAGGAAACAAATATAAAGGTTTTAGAAGACAACTCAGAATGTATTATGGGATACTTAGAAATTAAGTTAAAGGCCAATGGGTGCACAATGCAGTATACAGATGGTGTTTTATTGAATTGTCCACTTGAAACCTGCATGGGTTTTGCAAACCAATGTCACTCCAATAAATTCAATTACATTTTTTTTTTCACATCAAAGGAAGGAAGTAAGCAAGCAAGCAAAGGAATGAGGGAAAAAAGAGAAGAGAGAAAAGAAAAGAGAAAAGGAATTAAGTTAGAAAGAGAGAACTATTTGATTTGGATGGAGTGAAAGAAGGGACTCATGTAAAGTAAATAACTAAGAACACACATACACTCTGACACTGTTCCTGAAGGAGCAAAAGAAAAACAATCTAATCCCATTATAAATAACACCCAGACCTTGGAGGTAGCTGCCTCAGATCAGGTTACCTGTTAACACTGTCATTTGCTATCTGGATTCCACAGTCTATTTGCAACACTGTTTTATAATCCACATAGGCTTTCTGATACTGCTCTAAAGTTTCATAGGCCATTGCTCGTCGAAGAAGAGGTTTAATTGAGAATGGATGAAGTTCCAGAGCCCTAAAGAAGACAAAAATATCACATGTCATTTGTTTTGAAAATTACTCTCTAATTTATACTAACTGAATGCATACTGTAGTACTGGACTCAAATACATACTTACCTGGTATTTCATCTTGGGGACCTGGCAACATACCAGAGAGGCAAACCCTGAGTAGCAGAGCAATCAAATCTGTGGTTACTTCCTTTCTTTTAAACCAGAACCAAAGCACTTCGGCATTTATTTATTCTTTCCCCCACTGAGACTGAGTTCCCTGGCAGCAGGCAGTGTGCCGCACCCCCATATCTTGCCCCCATCCTCTCCCCTGCTCACCCCCGACACCCTAATAGTGCCCACCATGGCACCAGGCACAGAGCAGGCTTGCAACAGATTCTTGTTATTGAGGGATTAAGAGGGACATTTTTATTTGTACCTATGTATTATTTAATAAGGCACCTTAGCACAGAGCCACATACGCTTGCATCACTTTTTGAAAATCAGCTCTCTAAAACTCAGTGCAGTTTATTACAATTCACCTGCTGCCAAAGGGCTTCAAAAAGAGACCAGATGTAATCAAGGAAGCATACAATGATTTCTTTAAGTCATTAATTTTCATCTTGCACTTGTCTATGAAGTATTTTCAGTATCACTAGAGATGCATTTCAAGGTTATGTTCCTTGGTTTTGCAGTAACTGTTTAAAGCTACTTCACTACTCTGTACTTCATTATATTCTGAAATAAAGCATACAATCAAGATTGCATTTATGAATGACAACTACTGTACTTAGTTTTAATAAAATTAGCTGAAACTGTGAAGTGCTCCGTGCAGAGATGCTATGAAGAGCCTACTTTCTACATGACACGCTAATGAGCGTGCACCGGGCCGTCCACACTGGGGGTTGCCGGTTTGCTCTTCTGGTTAACTCTTAGGCCACAAGCAATTTATATACCAGAGAGTGACCTTGCTTCAGGGGAAGCATGAGCAAGGGCTGCTTTACTTTTTCTCCAGTGGTCTTAGAGACCATCTGTCTAGTCCTGTCTACACGATCTGGCGAGGTGGGAGCTCTGATCCAACATCTGCTAGATGCCCATCACTGTAGACGTTCGCATCTAATCTCACAACGAGCCAACGACATAAATATTAACCTGTTGATCTGCATGCCAGTTCTTTTGAATTTAAGCTGCAAGAAGGCAAGGGCATTCCCAGTGCCTAGATCAACACCAGGGCCGCAAGATGCCGTCTTCAGAGCCTACACTCTTTCTACTACAAACACAGACGGGACACTACGAATAAGGAAGTCAAAGTCATCGGCCACTTGGACTCCCTCAGATATCTCCACAGTGCAGACACTCAACTGTACACGTGGGCGTGCCCCTCAACTCTGGACCACAGGAAGCTGTTCTAAAAATGGCAGTAGCTTCATTTCTCTGAAAAACAACCATTTTGCTCTGCGAGGTGTCAGCACTGGGAGGGGAGTTTTGTAACGCCCTCTGTGTTGTACTGGGTGCAAACTGTTTGTCTATGATACGTATGTGTTACTCTTGTAACCTGTAAAAGTTATTTAAAAGTAAAACCAAAACCAAGTAAAAAAAACCACTTAAACACTAGAACACAGACCTCTGGCACCAGGATCTATGACCTGCACCACTGCCTTAAACTGAGCTTGGCTTAATGCTTAGGGATAGTAAAGACAGAACAGACACAGGACTACCCCCTATCATGAGACTTCCAAAATCCAAGGCACTATTTATCCACTCATGATAAACCTGAGCTGGGCTTGGCATCTAAAATTGAGTAAGATGATGTCGTTAATTTTTAGCACTCCCCAGTCTAGTAAATGCCAGGTTTTGGTTTTTTTTTCTCTTTAACTACAATCCTGAAAATAAATATAAATAATAAAAACTCCACAAAGGAAAAACAGAAGAAAAAAGTATCCATTCATAAAAATAAACACACACTTTTAAACTTTTAAATCAGAGCTTATACAAAAGCTTAAAAGACCCTAAAGACCCCAGGGTCAAAAGACCCTAAAGAGTCATCTAATTTCAGGTCTGTCAGAGAACAGCCAAGGTGAGCAAAAGCAGCGAATTACTAGGCACCATTCATCTGTACTGAGTCCATCAAAATATCCTCAGTGGAAAGTCACTGAAACATTTTTGTTGTGGTGTAGATAAGCCCAAAAGTTTCCCTGATGGATAGGGAAAGTGAAGGCTTTTTTGGGGGAAAAAACAAAAACTGATAAACGATTATGGGAATAAAAAATAATTGCTAGAATAAAGGTTTTAAACTTTTGCTTAGGCATCACAACTCTGTTTCATGTTCTCCCTGGAGCCTGAAAGAGAAACACAGAGGGGCCATGGGGGGAGGGGCAGGTCAGGGGCCCCTGCCTCCCCCAACGCTCCTCACCCTCCCAACAGGACTCTCCTGAGATGCCCCCCTGGACACATCTCTGAGGAAGTGCTTCCGAGGAGGCTCCAGGAGTTTGGACACTTAAAACCAGGTACCTTTTCCCGCAAATGCATGAAAAGCTATTTTTATAGGTAAATCCATGGAAGTTCATTCATAGGTTTCCCTCCCCCCTTTATTTAAATTTTGCCCCAAGAGTTTTTCTTTTTCTCGGTTTGACTCCTGCTACCACTTGTCTTGTAATAAGGGCTCACAGAACACAAAACAGCTCTCCAAGGGACAAAGATAATTAACTGAAAAACTAAAAAACAGGCTTCCTTTAAAATGTAGGCAATCTTTCCAAAGTGAAAATCGTCATATTTCTGCTAATAAATGATTCCTAGATCATACAAGTTTATATATACATCCATTTTTCAACATGCTGGCAATAGCAAACCACGGTTTCTCTGACATTAAAACAGGTCTGTGACTCAAGGCTTTGGAGTAAAATCACGCCATGCCCCTTAGGCTGCCACTCATCTGCCAGGTAACAAAGAAAACGTCTACTGAAGTCGGTCTCCGTGGAGGTCAGTACTGGCCAACAGAGCTGGATTCCTAAGCCTAGAAGACGACGCTTTGTAAGGACGCCCTACCTAAGCCACCGCCCACCTCCTGCCCCCGCTGGCCATCTCTCCCTCCAGACAAACCTCTGTTCCAGCCTCCTCCCTGGACACCATGGCCAGAGTCCCATTTTTGACCACCTCCTGGGTCTTCAATGAAACACACATTTTCACAAGAAAATGCCTGCCACCTTTAGCAATCTCACCTAAGGACAAAGTGAGTCCACTGTTTTTAGCCCTATCTGTAAGGGTCCCAAGTCTTAAATCAAGAGTCCTAAATTCACTCACTGTAGGAATACCTAAGACAAGTCTGAGGGGTAATGTATTAGCAACAGACACCTAAGCTGAGAGGTTTGAAGGAAAACAAAGTTTTGCCATCCCCAAAATTGTGCCTTTGGGGATATTGATTTTTAAGCTGGTTATTAAGAAACAAGAGTCAGAGAAAGCTTTTGACCCTCCTCCCTTTCCTGCTCAAGAGATACAGATAGAAAAACCTGCTCCAGGAAAAAAAACCTTAACATATTTGCCTTGGTCTAATTTGAATTAAATATGATAGACAGGAAGGTCTCGAGGAGGGCCCGTTTACTAGATCCCCCATGCCTGATTGTTTCTGGGTTGCCTAGCAAACATTTGCCTGCCATCTGTGTTCTACTCCCCCCATTTCTTTGTCCAAAATAACACAGATACCCAATTTTACCTCACTGTCTTTAGAATTTTAATGTTTCTGTGAATTCCCCATGCACATGTATTAAAATTTGATTTTCTCCTGTTAATCTGTCTGTTAATTTGATTATTAGCCCAGCTAGAACTTAGAAGGTAAAAGGAAAAGTAGTTTTTTAGCCTTTGCACAGGTTCTTGGCTGCAAATTGCAATGTGCCTGATATTTTGCGATTTCACATGGTCTGGTTGGTTAGTTAAGGGCAGTGGTAAAAATTTAACATCCAGCTATCCTGGGGGAAAAAAGGCCAGATTTATGGCATTTGCCAATTTTCATGGTATTAGTACTCCAACCATGGCAGACTTCAAGCTACCCACTTGACTTAATTCGACCAGCTCACAAAATCCTGAAAATGTAACAATAATTAGCTAGCGTGAGCTAGTACAATAGTGGACGGAGTCTAAAGTCAGCCCAGAGTGAATATAAATATTAGTTGTTTAAAATTTGAATATGTAAAGTTGACAAAAATCTGAGTACCTCAAGACCTTCTTTTTAAACTGTAGATGCAGGTAGTTATAAGTTTTACCCATATCATTAAACTGATATTATCAATGAAAAAAATTGTCCACCTTATCATCGGGGTTTCCATATAAGATACTGTCCAAACTAGGGCTTCTGAGAGTGAAAGGGAGTGATACTAATAATTCTACCAGACCAAAGGAGTAAACAAGGACTGTTAAGGTCAAACCAGGACATACGACTTTCTTTTTCTTAAGATTTTACTTATTAATTTTTTTAGAAAGAGGGGACGGGATGGAGAAAGAGAGGGGGAGAAATATGGACTAGCTGCCTCTTGCACGCACCACAGCTGGGGACCAGGCCCGCATCCCAGGCTTGTGCCCTGACTGGGAGTCAACTGAGGAGCTTGCGCTTTGCAGGACAATGCCCTAGCCACTAAACCACACCAGTCAGGGCACAATACATTTTTTAGATTCACTAATAGTAGCTTCTTTCCTAAGGGCTCCTGAGGAAGACTTATTACCTAATGGTAAAAAAAAAATAATAATAATAAAACATTTTATTCATGCAAGTATGTTCCTCTATCTCAGCATGTAAGGCAGAGCACCAGGGGTGACTACAGTGCCTGAGGGATGCAAAGCTGTATAAAACATGGTTCCGGACCTCACGGGCTTACAATCCAGTGCAGTGAATGACACAAGTACCTACAGGTGGGAGAGTGACAGTGCAAGTGTTGCAGACGTGAAGACGACCGGGAAGGCTGAAGGCGACCAGGCAGGCGGAGAGGAGGGGGCTGCTGAGCAGGCATTTGGGGACGAAAATGGGGCCACATAACGACACCTGCCAAGCTCAGGGGAGGCCTGCATGGCGGCCTTACAACTCAGAGGCCTAAAGTAACCAGGAGGATGGTCTGAAATTAAAACTTTGTAACTAAAAGCAGTTCCAGGAGGGTAGTCCTCCTAGGGTGGTATTTTTTCCCTAAGGTGAAGATGGATCTTCACCTCAAATGAGCCTACTGTCTTTTTGCCTGTACAATAACATAGTTTCAGAAGGTCAGAGTAATCCCTTTTTTTCAGACCCCTCAGGGACACTCTCCCACCTGAGCAGAGACCACAAATCCCATTGTTATGATGATTGTGTTCATTGTGAGCTGTTAACTATCCTACCCCTGCCTATGTAAAAGATGTTTGTTTATTCCTTTTACTTTTTATCCAATCCCAGAGATTTCCCTGCTTTGCTTTCTCCCTAATCACCGATGGGTTTCATGTAACCACTTTACGTCTCCCCGCCTTGATTCTGATGTATAAAATTAGTGGTAAAATTGCCATTTTCCGGAGCATTTTCTCAATCCCTTGAGATTTTGCTTCCGGGCAATTGTCGTGAGTTTGGCTCAAAAAAAAAAAAAAAAAAAAAAAGTGTAAAAATTCTTTCAGGTTTGGACGTTTCTAACATCGACAGATTTCAGAAGCAAAGGTGTGCAGAGGACTTTACAGACAGTGGATCAAATGAGAGCGGAAAGCTTGTTTGGGGGGCAATCTGGTGACAGAGGAGTGTATAACTATCTGGAAGGCCATACTGAGTTAGTGAACAAACAGTCTGAACAAAACAGTGCTTCAAGAAAAGGTATTCTGTAAGCCACAGTGGACTGGAGGAGGCAGAGAGAGTAGTGAGGTTTTCCCCTTCTCCAGGAGTCTAGGACTGGCATAAAACGAGCATGAATTAAGGTGGTAACAGTGGAAATGAAAAAAGTTTGCACAATCTTCTATAACTGTCTTCATACATGTGCAAGAGAAGAATTTATGATTTTATGTATTCATCAATTAAGATACCTCAAAACTTCTTAAGAAATTAAGAGTCATGCAGAAAACAGAAAAACAGTAAATACTGCATTCACCACCTTGCAAAGATAACAATCTTTGACAAACCTGAAAAACGGCGGTTTACCTGTCACAGTCTTGAATGCAGCCGCTGCAGTTTCCTTCCTTTAGGTAACATGCTGCTCTATTTGAATATAAGATACTTAGATCATCTGCACTTCCACTTCCTAAAATCACATGTAATTACACACAGTTAAAATCCATTAGCAAAATCAAGCTCCCCAGACTTCCGAGACGGCTGAGGTCTCCACTGGCAGGGGCCGCAGTCCCGCAGGCAGTGCTGACAGCGCAGAGCTCCGAGGAGCCGAGTGCGCCCGCAGTGGCCACAGGGGGCGAACCCGTAAAGGGACGAACGTGCCTCGCCCGGGCGCATAGTACGCATTCCAAGGTACAGACTGCGCCCGTAGGTCCAGTCCCGCGCCGCCCTCGGTCAGCGGGAAGGAATGTACAGACGCAAGCGCCTGTCATCCAAGAGGTGGCCTGCGCCTCTCCCGCGGGGGCCCCTGTAGGTCCCGGGAAGCTCGGCCGGACGGTTCCGGGGAGCATGCGAGGCGCAGCTCACCTACCTGCCGGCTCGAGCTGCGCTATCGCCGCCGAGTACTTGAGCGCCGCCTCGGCGAACTGCCCGGTTTTGAACAGCTCGTTACCCTGACTCTTCAGGCCGGAGGGGCCGACCGGGTCGGTGGGGGCGGGCGGCGGCCCAGGGGACGTGGCGGCCGCGAAGGAGTCCCGGGCGCCCCTCCGGCCGCCCGGATGCCCGTTGGCACCGGGCGCCGCCGCCGGGGCCCGCGGGCCGCCCCGCTTGTCCGCGCCGGCCCCTGGCGTGCGACCCCGCCGCGGCGCGCCCTTCTCCGACCGCTTGCCAGCCTCGCTTTTGCCCGTCAGCTTCTTCTGGATGTTGCCCATGGCGCGCGGCTCCGCGGCGCGCGCGACTCCCGCCGGCTCCGCGGCCTCTGTGGGAAGTGGATGCGGGAAGTGAGTGTTTGCATCATCAGGAGAAACTACCGCGTCGGCCGCGGGGGTGCCGGGCGCAGAGGCGCGGCGCGCCGGAGCCCGCTGGGCGGGTCGCGGGGAAGCCGGGCGGGCACCGCCCTCTCGGGCGGAGTTCGGCGGCTCCCGCACCTCCAGGGCCCGCCTGCCCCGAAGGTTTACCCTGGGCCCGCGTGCGCCGATCCCCCTGGGGCTTCCTGGGCTCTGGACGGAAGCCAACCCCGTATTTAACTCTTTAAACACAGAAGGGCTTGTGACTTGCACACCAGCATTTCAAAATCATTCCCTTCATCGAAGCCAACAGGCAAAAGCATATCTTACAAAGTACGTATTTTCTTCCATTTACAACTTTGAATGAATGAATGAAGTTACTAAAACTTGAATACAAAGATCGCACCCAAGGTTAGGGTACCATTTCCTTATGCTAAAGGACTAGGAGGAAAAGATCACTTGACAGAAAAATAAAGTTCAAGTGATTTTTTAAGCCATTTTAAAGTGAACTTAGCGAAGAAGTCATCAAATAAGCACCTAGTTTTTAAAGTGAGCCTTTAAAAGACTTTTTCCATTACAATGCCTTATTCAAACTTTCAGATATTAATCATAGCCTTAATTGATTTTTGAATTCACTGTTTTTAAATATGAAATAATGTATAAGTATTTCAATGATGGAGGTCTTATCAATATTTTATACAGGGCAGTCATCATTTTGTTAAAGAAGGGAAAAACGACACACACACACACACACACACACACACACACGCCCAATGTCACTTGTGCTAAAAGCTCACCAAACCTAGATTTAATACCTGATTCAATTGCAGTTTCAAACTCTCCCAGAAACATAATCTCGGTCAACCACCATAGAATTTTTTGGTCAAGCACCAGTATGGTAATCTGTCAGTGGGTCCTCTCCACCCCTCTCATCTACAAGGAGAGGCAATCTGCATAAAAACTCTTCCCAATTTTCTTTCCCTACAAAGAGAATATGGCCTGGCCCCCAAATAGCCCTTTCTTTTAACTAAGAGCTCCCTTGTCCCAACCAGCTTCCTATAAAAACCTACCATTTTGTACAGCTCCTAGAAGCATCCTTCTAGGTGCTAGATGGGATACTGCCCAATTCATAAATTGCTTAATCAAAGCCAATTAGATCTTCAAATGTATGTGGATGAATAATGCTTTTTAAACAACCTCAAACCACTGTTTAAAAAAGCACTTAAATACAGAGACTTCCAAGCTTTTTCTTTTAACAAATTCTAATCTGATTTTTAATGGATATATTTTCCATTCTGTTTCATGAATGGTAAAGCTATGATTTGAAACATAAAGACAGAGGGCATCAAAAATCACAAGTGTTTAAGTAAAAATCAGTGGATTGTCACCTTAAAGCCAGCATTGTTTTAAAAACACTAATAAGTATACTTTTCTCTACAGTAGAATAGTGCCCAATCTTGGATCACTAACCAAAAGGTGGTTACATATTAAAACTATAGAAAGATCTTATAATAATAATAAATATCTAGACTGAATCCAGTAGGATTATTAGACCAAGGCTCCAGTCTTCCTCTGATATCTGCTACTCAAGTCTCCACTCAACAGAAAGGGTTGGAAGCATATGTTCATGTCAGCAGAAACAATGGACAACTTAGTATTATTGCACATTCCCTTGTATGTTTTCCTCTCATGTCTGACTGATACTACTAAACAGCTCCAGTTTATTTAGAACTTAATATGGGTCAAGACCTTCACAAACATTATCATTAACCTTCATACCAAGTAGTATTGTCCCTACTTTACAAATGAGGCAACAGAGACACCCGGAAGTAGCTAAGGAATTTGCTCAAGCACAGAGAGCTAGAAATCCCAGTTTAACTGGGATTCAAATGAAGTGAACTGAATGCATAGCCATACCTCTTTCCTTAAGGTGGAAATGTCCCTGAACAACGTTGTCAGTCTCCGTAAAGGTAAACAGAGGCCAGACCATGAAAGTCCTGTGAGTCATGCTAGGTATTACACTATCGGTAGGACATTCCAGAGTAGTTATTCAGGAGGTGGCTCCCACTGTTGATCAGAGGAGTGGCCTTACCTAGAGACACTGGCTTGGGAGGTGCTGGCATGTAAAGAATCATGAAGTTTGGATGTGGACTGGGTCACTCATATCTTCCAAAGGACCCCTGAGAAATACTAATTCTTAAAGGATGATCACAGGAACAATCTCCAAAGGAGATGGAGGAGTACCTGAAAATAAGAGAAAACCCAGGAGGGCATACTCCCTCAAAAACAAAGAAGAAAGAGTATTTCAGGGAGGAAGGAGTCAGCAATAACAAATATCAAAGGACATAATGGCCAACAGTGTCATTTGCACAAGGACCAAAGAGGTAGCCTTTGATGACTTCAGTAGCCTTGAAAAGTAGTTTGGGTAGTTGGTAAATGCAAAAATCCTCAAAATATAAGCAAACCAAATCCTATAGCCTATTAAAAGGATTATACACCATGACCAAGTGAGATTTATCTCAGGAATGGAATGGTGGTTCAACAGTAGAAAATTTATGTTGCATTAATAGAACAAGGACAAAAAAACACAGGATCATAATTGAACTGAAAAGGCATTTGATTATATCCAACACCCTTCCATGATAAAAAAAAAAAAAAACCCTCAGAAAACTAGGAAGAGAAGTGAAATTACTCAACATAAAGTACATTTATGAAAAACTCACAGCTAACACCATTCTCAGTGGTGAAGTCCTGAAAGCTCTCCCCTGAACCACAGCTACTCAACATTATAGTGGAATTTATAAGCTGATCAATTTGGCAAGAAAAAGATATAAAAGACATCCTTATGGGAACAGAAGAAATAAAACTCTCTTTTCATATCTGATATAACTATAGATTCTTTAGGATCACATATATTATATATAAGAAAATATAATTGAACAGGATTATGTATCTATTACATATTATAATTTACAATTATATACTTACAAATTTAATTGTAAGTATCTACTATATAAAATATAATTATATATTATAATATATTAAATATGTGTATATATATGTATTCCTAAAGGATACACACACACACAAACACACTAACCACTACTAGAGCTAATTAGCAAATTCAGCAATGTTTCTGGGTACAAGACCAACATACAAAAATCAGTCATTTCTACATACTGTTAATGAACAATCTAAAAAGAAATTAGAATAATAATTCCATTTACAATAGCATCCAAAGGAATAAAATATTCAGGAATAAATTTAACAAGATGAAGGACTTGTACACTAAAAAATATAAAACACTGCCAAAAGAAATTAAATAAGTGGAAAGATATTTCATGATCATAGATAGGAAGACTTTATGTTGTTAAGATATCAATATTAGCCAAATATTTGAATTTGAATACAGATTCAAATAATCCCTATCAAATTTCCATAGACTTTTTTGCAGAAATAGAAAAACTGATCTTCAAATTCATATGGAATTCCAAAGTAGCCAAACAATCTTGAAAAAGAAGAACCAAATCAAAGGACTCACACTTCTGATTTCAAAACGTACTAAAAACTACAGTAATCAAAACAGAGTGGTACCAGCGTTAGCACAGACATGTAGACCAACAGAATAGAATGAGAGTCCAATAATAAATTCATACATTTATGGCCAATTGCTCTTTTTAATCCTCACCCAACTATATGTTTATTGATTTTAAAAAGAAAGGGAGGGAGAGAGGGAGAAAGAGAAACATCAATGTGAAAGAGAAACATCGATTGGTAGCCATCTGCATGTACCCCAACCAGGGATCAAACATGCAACCTAGGTATGTGCTCTGACCAGGAATGGAATTTGTAACCTTTCTGGTGTATGGGATGATGCTCCAGAGCCACCTGACTAGCTGGCCCATTGATTTCTTTAATCATTTTTTGTTTTTTATTGATTTTAGAGAGGGGAAGGGAGAGAGAAAGAGAAACATCAATTTGTTGTTGCACTTATTTATGCATTCATTGGTTGATTCTTGTATGTGCCCTTACTGGGTATGAAACCTTCAACCTTGGTGCTTCAGAATGATGCTCTAATCAACTGAGCTACCCGACCATGGCTGGCCCATTGATTTTTGACAAAGGTGTCAAGTCCATTCAATGAGGAAAGGATAGTCTCTTTAACAAATGAGATTGGGACAAAAAGATTTCAACAAGTGGAAAAAAAAACAAACACACAAACAACTAAGTAGAACTCCTACCACATCAAAATCAAAATACTTCAATGATCTAGATGTTAGCTAATTCATAGAACTCCTAGAAAAAAACATAGAGGTAAATCTATATGACCTAGATTTGACACAAATTTTGTATGACACCAAAGGCTCAAGCGCAAAAGAAAAATGGATAAATTGGACTTCATCAAAATGTAAACTTTTGTGCATTAAAGGATATAATCAAGAAAGTAAAAAAGACAACCCACAGAAGGAATTATAAACAAATTATACGCGTGCGTGCACACACATATGACAAGGGTCTAGTATCCAGAATATGTAAAGAACACTTACAATTCAACAATAAAAAGGCAAATAATCTAATTGTAAAATGGGCAAAGGACTTGAGTAAACATTTCTTCAAAAAATATATACAAATGGCTAATAAACACAACAAAAGATGGTCAACACAGTAAGAGAAACACAAATCAAAACCATAAGGAGTTACCACCTTTCACCCACTAGGATGTAATCAAAAAGGCAAACCATAACAAGTATTTGCAAGAAAGCGGAGAAATTGGAATCCTCAGACATCACTGGTGGGAATATTAAATGCTGCAGGCACTTTGGAAAACTGGCAGTTCCTCAAGAAGTTAAACATAGAGTTACAATATAACCCAGCATTCCACTCCTACAAATATACCCAAGAAAAATAAAAACATGTTTACACACATAAGCTTGTAGTACTACATCATGTTCCAGTTAAGATTTTAAATAGTGTCCTTTAATTGTAAGGTACTTGGCTAATCATCTTAAGCTAAATATAAACCCTAAGAATATTTGCTGCCAGAACTTAAAATCTGGTTGAAAAACTTTTTATCTTAATTTCTCCCTTTTTTATCCTTTTGCTGCTGTCTTCCTTTCTCATCTCTCTCGTATTATTCTCTGTCTCCTCTTTCTCCTTCCCTTCTTTTCTGTCCCTTTGTTTTTATTCTAGCTTAACTGATCATATTTTGACTTGAGGTATATATTTTACATTTTATTTTTTGTCATTAAAAACTTAAAACTTTTATTTCTTGTTCTTTATTTTTTTAAGTGGAATGAATTGAACATTTTATATTTCTCTCTCTAATTAAAATATTCTGTCAAATTACTGAAAGTTGATTTTTGCCTGTGAATAATTTTCAAAATTGATATTTGGCATTTCCCCTTGGTTGCTCAGGGGCTTTCAAGAATGGAGAAAAACTACCACCGCCCCCCCCCGCCCCACCCCACAGTCAAATGAGTAGGCAGATCTTTCCCCTTAAAGCTGATGTAACTTTCATTGTTTCCTATTATAAGATTAAGCTTTAACTAATCTAGGACCTTTAAAAAATTATATCAAAGGTGAAATTGCACTAAAATTTTTTGAGAGGCATGCATGGCAATTTTTTAACAATGCATTCATTTTAGGCAAAGTATACCTCTTTGAAGCCATCACATTTGTTTGCAACTAATAGTTATATACAAAACAATCCTGTAAGAGAGATCTAAGGTTAACTTGCAAATTGTTGGTATCACAGAAACACAGATATTTGCATTTAAAGATGACAATGAGGAATTAAGTTGAGCATTAGAAAAAAGTGTCAGGTTAAGAAGAAAAATCGGTTTGGGGGATCTTATTAGGAAAAAGATGAGCTGTGTTAACTAGACATATTGTGATCATTTCACAATATACACAAATATGAAATCATTATGTTATACACTTGAAACTAATATAATGTAACATGTCAATAAAAAAAGGAAAAAGAAAAAGCATGAGCTATATTAAGAAAAGTATTAAGGAAAAACTTTGTGGATTTACAAGGTAAAGCCATAAAAAGTTTGATAGACTAATTCATCATATAAAAAGGTAATATTTTACATAACCAAAAAATAAATAATGTTTTACTCTTATCTCCACTGCCATCATCACGTTTTCTTTCACTCTCCTTTCCATTTTCATCTTCTGAGTTTTCTACTTCCTGAATAACCATCCTTTTCCCCTTGGTTTGAGTCTTAGACGCAGGTGCAGAATTTTTCAGATCTCTTTCAACCTCTGACAAGGTTTTCTGCAACATAATCACCATATTAAATAAGATATTTTCCTCTAATCAAAAAACATAACTACATTTGTCTCTGCCTTCCCCCCTATTTTGTAATTGTAAAGTATTAAATACATTAAATACTTTAATGTATTTAAAAAGTAAATAAATTAATTAAAAAAAAAAAAACATAACTATCCTATCAGGTAAGAATATGATGCTATTAAAAAGTGAATAATGAGCCCTGGCTGGTGTGGCTCATGGATTGAGTGCCTGCCTGTGAACCAAAAGGTCACCAGTTCAATTCTCAGTCAGGGCATGTGCCAAGGTTGTGGGCCAGGCCCCCAGTTAGGGGCATGTGAGAGGCAATGGATATCTCTTGCACATCAATGTTTCTCTCCCTCCCTTCCCCTCTCTCTAAAAATAAATAAATGAAATCTTTTTTTTTTTAAAGTGAGTGATGGTAACTAAAATAAGGCTTTTTTATGGTGGTCTGTTTTTCTTTTTCAAACAACTTTGTTGCTTTGTTTGATTATAATCATACATGGCTGCTGTAAAAAACTTAAAGTATAACAAGTATAAAAAAGAAAGGAAAAAATTATTTAAAATCCTTCAACTTATATAACACTCCTGATATTCTGATGATCATATATACAAGGTCTGCCCAGAAAAAGTCCCACCATTGCTAATATAATGAGAACAATTTATGCAACATCGATGTAACCTGGCAACCCAGGAGAGTGGACTGGAATGCACAGATGTGAATAATGACAACTTCACTGTACTAGTCAGTGGGGACAGTAGATCCATTGAGTGAGCATGTGTACTGTGTCGCCATCACATTCAAAGTGACTGAGCAAGTAGAGCAATGAATCTGCATCAAATTTTGCATTAAGCCTGAACATTCCTCCACAGAAACTATTTTGATGATTCATAAGGCCGCAGCTGTGGGCAACTGGTGAGTGGCAGCTTCATCATGACAACACGCCTGCTCATGCATCATGTCTTGTGCAGTTTTTTTCTGTCACCCAGATGACTCAGCCTCCCTACAGGCCAGATCTGGCACCCTGTGACTTCTGTCTTTTCCCAAAACTAAAATCAACTTTGAAAGGGAAGAGATTTCAGATCATCAATGAGATGCAGGAAAGTACAATGGGGCAGCGAACTGTGATTCCAACTAAGGATTTTGCAGTATTTTGAACAATGAAAGAGACATTGGGAGAACTGTGTGAGGCCCCAAGGTGCCTACTTTTAAGGGGACTGAGGGAGTCAATGTCCTGTGTACCATGTTTCTTGTATCTTATAACTTCAGTAAGTATCGCTTTCATAGTATATGGCTGTGTACTTTCTGGACAGACCTTTGTATATAAAACATACCATTATAAAAAGAAAGTACTATGGGGAAAAGATGTGTTCCTAAACTGGGCCCTAAATCTAATCCACTGAAATGCTGACTTGACAAATGTAGCTGATACGCTAAGAACTTTAGCTGCCATTTAGAGATAGATAACCCAGCAGGTGTATGTAGAAACAGTGAAACATTATTGGAAGATAGTTCTCCATGGGTTTCTCACTACTGAATATATCGTGAGCAGAGGAACTAAACAACCTTTGTTCTAGACCATCTTTTTAAGGATGCTTGTACTGAGAACAGACTTGGGAAATAGAATATTTTGCTTCAGAGGAAAGAGCAGGTTTGTTTGTTCTCTGGGGAAGTAAAGATAATGTTTTCCTCATATATTGGTTAGGCAGGTTTGCTTGTATTCCATGAAAGATGGTGGTTTTGTAAATTTGGGATTCCTCATCTGTGACACAAATCTGCTGAGTGTGCAGCATCGATCTGGGCCATTCTATGCCACCCCCATGAGACATGGGAGCCAAGGCAACTGACATGAACTTGAAACTCATCAGCTTGCTCTGCTGTAACAAAGTCCTTTGTGTCTGACCCAGGAGTCTTGTACATTGTTCTAGGCCACTTTGTTAATTTGCAAGTAGGGTAAAATCTCAGACCCTTTACAGTTTTCAACACTTATCTCTACTCTTCAGGCCTTACTACAGGTCTCCCCAAGTGCCTACCTGAGTCAGTCTGCTATCAGGGATATATGCTTACCATGTTAATTACAAAGAGAAACACTCTTTTATGGCCATCAAGCTCATACCTAATCCCACCTGGGAAACGTATACATTGCTCTGCATAATAAGTTGAAATTAGTTCAAAGAAAATCATGGCCTACAACACTGCAGGAAAGAAAAAATTTAATTATTTGTTCTTCAGAAGTAGGTTTACAGTCTTGAACAATTTAAGAGCTTGCTGTCTTCCACTTCAAATACAGCTAACACCTTGGGATGTCTGGTATAGACCTACTTTTTAAAGCTGTAACTTAATCCTTAACATCATGTATCCAGCAAGATCGATATCACTTTAACATAAATACAGAAATAGCAAACTATAGAATTTGGTGAGGAATCGCTTTCTCTACTTACTTTGGCCAACTCATTATCAGGTTCAATATCCAGTACTTTACTCAAATCTTCTATTGCTTCCTGAAGCTTGTTTTGATGTTTATATGTCGTGGCACGACGCAAAAGAGCTGGAAATTTACCAAAATGAAAGTTACATTTTTTTAACACATGGTATTATGGTTAACCTGTTTCTCAAGTGGAAGAATGTAAATAGCACAAAACAGTTTAGGATGCAATTGTGCAAAGCTTAACGGTACCCACTTTCATATTGTTGCACATATAGAAAATGATACAGAGGTAAACAAGAGGCCGCATCAGGCAACTGCCCTCTCCAACAGCCCGGCCCTTTGGCAGCCCCAGGCCCTGCCAGTCCTGCAAGGGCTGAGACTCCACCCCCTCAGAAGCAGCATGCTGTGCTGAACCACCAGGAGGCTTTTCATCAAACTATAATGTTTGCCTCCTTATAATCATTGCGAGTATTATTTCACCACTTTATGAAAACTTTGAAAATCATGCATTCAAATTTAGTGTATTACTGAACAGTATCTGGCTCAGAATACGGGCTTGGTAGTGAAGTCTTTATAGCAAGCTCTAAAATGATTAGAAGGAGGTATTTCATGCTGGTAACTGAGAGAATCCTGATGATTAAGTCAGCAACGTTCCGAAATTGAGTACTTTGGTAATTTGCATCAGATTTTTTTTAAAGGTTTCAAGGTATAATTTAATACTTATTCAATCCTGAAAAAAATGCCTCTCTACTCCTATTGTTATTCATTATATAATGACACAACTTTGTGTAATAAGTCATTATTTTGAAAAAAATCAGGCTTGGTAATTCTGAAAAGTGAGAAATTTATGTCTATATTTTAATATGCTATATTAAAACATAAATTTGACCAATTCGATGGTAGTCTTAAAATGAACCATGGAAATCTAAAGAATAAATGATTTTACCATTTGATTTTACCAGAACTTTAACAGTGTATTTTAAGTACAAGTTTAGCTATTACCATTACTACTCAGATTTAAGAAGGGAATGTCCATAAAGACATATTCATGATACAACAATTATTACTTTTTAAACTCTTTTAAAAATAATTTTATATTTACAGAAAAGTTGCAAAGATAATAAAGAGAGTTCTCATTTCCCTTCACCCAGCTTTCCCTAATGCTGACATTTTACATAACTATGGTATATTTGCCAAAACTAAGAAATTAACATTGCTACAGTACTATTAACTAAACTACCAACTTTATATGGATTTTACCAACTTTTCCTTTTTCTATTTTAGAATAGAACCTAACTACTACATTGCATTTCAGTTATCTTTTAAGTAAAAATTAAGTTTTAGAGAGGAAGTTATTTATTCACTTAAGCAAACATAAGACTTCTTAATGTCTTATGGCCATATTCACTACTAGATTTGGCTCTGTCAAATTTGTTTTTCAAACACTGAAAATTGTGGTGCTTAAGAAATTGCTGAAACAAGTTAGAATGAAAACATAAGGCCATTCTAGTGGAAGAAGTGTAGCACAGTGGTCAAATGTAGGCTCTGAAATCTGTGGTCTGGTGTTGAGTCCTGGTTCTGCCATTTTGCTGCCTGTGTGACCTTGGGTAAGCTGCTTAATCTTTTTATGCTTCAGTTTCCACTTTTTAAAAATAATAATATTATTTTTAAATAATATTATCTGCACCTCTACGGAGTTATTGTGAAAAATTATGTGGAGTTAATACATGTAAAGTGCTTGGCATAGGACCTGGCCCAGCGGTGTTGTGCGCCCAGCAGGAGATACACGCTGGGAGCCCGCCCCTGCTCTGTGGCAGAGAGAAAATGATTCCTTCTTAGTAACAGAAATGGAGAGTGGAGTCTGACTTGCATACTTTTGGCTTGGACCATGGCAGGGTGCAGGCTCTGAGAAAGCAAATCAGGATAGAGTACACGTTTGGGTGGAAATATGTAGTCGGCTTTGGACATGTTTAATTCAAAATGTCTATGGACTTATTATGGGTGGAAATGCCCACAAAGCAGCTAGTAGAAGATGCTAGACCTTTGGTGTGGGCTTCTTAGTTTAATATTAAATATAAGAAACTCTATATTAAATTATATTTAAATATATTTTAGACAAAAAGTCACAGTTCAATAAGCCAGTCATAAAAAGAGAAATACTATATGATTCCACTTACGTGAGACACCTAGTATAGTGAAATCACAGAGAAAGAAAGTAGAATGGTGGTTCAGAGGATGGGGGGAGGGAAGAAGAAAGAGTTACTGGTTATTAGATATAGAGTTTCAGTTTTACAAGATGAAATTAGTTCTAGAGATAAAAGGTAGTGATGACTGCACAATAATACCACTAAACAGTGTACTTAAAAATGATTGAGATGATAAATTTTGCCCTGCCTATTTAGCTCAGTTGGTTAGACCGTTGTCCCAATACACCAAGACTGTGGGTTCAATCCCCACTCAGGGCACATACAAGAATCAACCAATGAATGCATGAATAAGTTGAAAAACAAACTGATGTGTTTCTCTCTCTCTCCTCCCGTAAAAAAACAATAAATTTAAAAAACGGTTAAGATAGTAAATTTCGTTATCTGTATTTTATAAAATAAAAAAAAAATGAAGGAAATAAACCATAGGTAAATGCAAGCTTGAGATAAGTCTTTAAAAACACATATATATTTTACTGAATCTTCTAAGATTATTGGTTACTTCACTGCAAATAACTAGGGACTTAAATTCCAAGTTAAACTTAAATATAGAGGTAACTTTATGAAAGTAATGATTCCCATATAGAAATTTGAGTGTATTTGCCACATTTTTAGTGTAAACATAATGAGTGTCTACAAAGTCTATTGGATTCTGCTGTAAATTTAAAAGCATTCCATTAATATTACCCTTTACGTTTCCAGGTTCTAACTCCAAGACCTTTTCACAATCCTGAAAAGCACTGTTCCAGTTCTGTAGTTTGAGTTCTGCTTGAGCTCGATTATTATAGGCCACTACAGTGGGAAGCACTGATAGGCTCCTATAAAAGAGACACTCGTTGGCAACAAGCAGTGGTAAATACAAGACAGAGGAACTCTGCTAAAGTTGTAAATAAAACAGCTGTAGCCTGTGTTATGGGCAGAATTGTGCCCTCCCTGCCACGCCTCCCACCGAATTAATATGCCAAAGTCCTAACCCTAGTACCTCACGATGTAACTATATTTGGAGATAGAGACTTTAAAGATGTGATTAAGTTAAAATGAGGTCATGAAGGCAGATACTATTCCAATATGACTATTGTCCTTATAAGATGTCAAAAGTGGGGGTGGGTAGGATCTTCGAGAAAAGTAGTGAAGAAAACAAGGCTAACACAAGTGAATTTATGATAAACCACAGATACAGTGTCTTAAGTGATTCTGACATAGACTATTTAGCTTATTTATATCATTTTGACAATTAAATTTAAAGTCATTTTTTTAAATATTGCAAGTTTAAACCACAACAAAATTCTGCTTGCCTTGTGTAGTATTTCACAGCTTCTTCATAATCTCCTGAGTTGAAAGCTTCATTTCCTTTTTCCTTTTCACGTGTAGCAAGAAAATCTTTTTCCTTCTCAGTTAGACCTAGAAATAAATGTTATCTGCTTTAAGTAAAAATATAACTTAATAGAATATTTAAAAAATTTTAAAGTCAAGAATGCTTACTTTAACAGAAGCAGAAAATTATAAAATAATTTAAAGAAAATAAAAGTTTTAAGTTTAGTAATGTTTCCTTCCTTTTTAAAATCATTTACAATATTTGAGGGTTTAGATTATTTTATAATTTGTTTTGTTTCACTTTAAAGGTGCTGTATGTCTATGGACTTCAAATGGAAACAAACTGCTCCATCATTTTTGTTTTGAGGCAAAAAGAAAATAAATTTGAGGGATTTGCAGGAAAAAGAGGGTTAGAAAAAAGTAATTAAAATCAAATGAATTGCAGTAAAAAATAAGTTTGTACTTTTAAGTCTTACTATATTTAAGTAGTATAACTGTTATATAAAATTAAGTAAAGGATAGGTCTGAATTTGTTAGAAGTGATCAACATCAGGAGAAAAGTCCATAAAATTTTAATGAAAACCTGCAGCACTTAAAGAAAATGTCTTCTAGTTTGATAGCTATTATTATTATTTGAAAAATTTAATGACTACTAAATTGTTCTTATTTTTCCCCAATTACCTGCTGTGTCTATTCTTGTTTCAATTTTGGATAAATGAGACTTGTTGTTTACTAGAGTTTTTCCTTTGTCATCTTCATCAATTTTTGAACATTCCTTTTCCACATCAAATCTTAAAAGAAAAAACAAAAATTGAAAAAGTACAATAAAATAAAATTTATTATTGTATTTGTATACTGTGCCTTTAAACACATATTCCAAGAAATGCACAATAGGTTTGTATTACAAGCTATCTGTATTCTTTCTTAGAAACCATGTACCTTAGTGAGAACTTAAATATTCATCAGACTTAAACTGTCTAGAACTTTGTAATTAAGACTGTGACAAATTTCTCTCAATTTAAATTTTTTTTTCTTATTTTGGATGGGTATAAGAATTATATTAACTATTTTTGGTTTTTATAAACAAGAGGATGCAGAAGATTTTTATTTAAAGAAAAAAACAAGATCAAGAGTGCTTAAGCCATATACTCTTAGTACTTTACTAAAGAACCTTGGTATTCTTGATATGTTCAGTTTTGTAATACTTAAGAAGTTATTACAGTATTTTATGATGGAGGATTTTCCAGTGACAAATTTTACATAAAGAAATATAAAACATACTTATCCCACTCTGCATAATCCCTTGGAATTTTCTTTTTAGCTGGTTTACTTTTAGAACATTTTTCCTAGAAGAATAAAATCATACTTTATGAGACATGTTTAATATAAGATCAGTAGGTTTTACTGTAAGTGCAATTTGAAGTATTAGAGTAAGATATATAAATTGAATGAATATGAAAAACAGGTACCCTTGAATTTATAACAACTCCAGTATTAAAATTAGTAACATAATAATATATAGCAGACTTTAAAAGGTTTTTAAATTTGTAGTTATTTCTCAGAGCACTCTGCAGGACTTTAAGTACATATATAAAGTTTAAAAGCTCACATGTGTGAAATATGATTATTAGTGATTTTCTTATAATAATAAAGTACTAAACTATCATTTATTCTTTTAAAACCTAGGGGGGAAGAATACTTTACTGTATTAGTCAAAATTGGTTTGTTTGCAATAATAGACACCCAACTTGGACTAATTCTATTTTAAAAGAATAAATTATTGGCTTATGTAACCAAACTCATGAAAGAAAGGGCAGGGCTCTTGCTGAATGAAAGAGTCATATGGTCTCTCTCCAACTCTCCCTCTCTCCCTGTCCCTAGTCTCTGCTTCTCTCTGCCTACTGATTTTGTTTTCCCTGCTGGCTAATGCTTTTTCCATGTAGTAGGAAACATGGCCACAAGCAGCCTGGCATTATAACATCATAGGCCTCCCAATCAGAAAAGAGGACTCTTCTCTCCATCCTTAGAGACATCTCAGGGAAGGACTGTAATTGGCTAGCTTGGGTCACATGTCTATCCCTGACCAAGCACTAGCTTGGTGCTATTAAGTCAGCCAACCTAGGTCACATGCCCACTGCAAGCACCAGAAGGGAATGGGAGGGAAGCCATTATGCTCACGAATAGTTTCTTAAATGGTTTCTTAAAAGTCTGTCATAATCTGAAACCATTTGTAATGGTTTTGTAACATTGCGCATTGGGCATGTGGAGTTAAGCAGATCTTCCAAACATTCATATATTTCATTATACAATAAAGAACCATTTCTTTAATATCTTCATGGAGCTCATCAGAAGAGTATAACTATGCCCCTTAAGGGAAATATTTTTTTGTCACAAACAGGTATTCAGGAGCCACATAACAATATGAAATACTCTAAATTATACTTGAAAGCTCAGATAATTATCACTGGCAAAAAACACTGTTGGTTGTTTTCCTTAAAGTGACAGGCCCACTTTGTTCATTTTCAATGCAAAGTCTGCCAAAAAACCACGTCTGAATAACCATAAATTTTTGGAGTAAAATTTATTCCAGGAGAAAGTGGTGACTTAAGCTAGCAATTCAATCATACAAGTCCTTTTCTTAACAATCATATTTAACTTGACAATAAAATGCTTTCTGCATACTTCCCATTTTGTCACACAGAATATTAAAAAGATGTATCCTTGAGATTCAAGATTTAACAAAATAAGTAAGTTTTATTATTTCATCAAAGACATTTTTATGTTTAATTGGAATTTTTTACTGAGTCTGTAATAGTGGAGAAAACAATGACTATAGTACAATTTGGGGCTACTGCTATGATTTGTGCTAAGGTGATAGTAGTTCTACTCTCAGTACAAATGTCAACAAAGTGAAAAAGACAGAGCATTAGCATGATTTTTAAAAATAGCATTGACTTTCTAGACCCCCTGGATGGCTCTCTGGGATGACCATGGTCCACAGACTGTTCTTTAAAAACCACTGTACCACTAGTTTCTCTATCCCACTGGAGTATAAACTCCTTGAGGGCAGAGAGACCAAGTCTTATTCATTATATTTTTAGGGCACAAACTTAGCACATAATGGGTGTTCAATAAATACAAATTCATTGATTACAGGTAGTGGCAACTTTACCACATTACTGTATATCAGTTCTGAATAGGGAGTAAAAAGATCCAGGAAGGTAAATTATCAGAGGGCAGTGGCAAAGAGCTACGATGCTTTTTAAATAAAATCAAGGATTCAGAGATGAGATGAAAATAACAAGCATAAATTAACCCAGAAGGAACAGACTTGGGTAGCCCTCCCTTCTGAAATGATAGAAATAAAATTTTAAAAGTAGGACAGAAAGAAATGTAATGTGTGATCTATGTGAAAGCCCAGCGACTCCCAGTGTCCAGGAAACAAGGGCTAAGTTCTGTGATACCACGGTCAGTGGATGCCAAGAAGCTCAGTTTCAACTTAAAGTTAAGTGGATGGACCTGGAAGTCCTACAGGCTCCTTTTCTATAGAGCCCACAGGTGACAAAGAAGAGGTCTACATGACAAAACAGGGATCAACCACAGAGAAATAATCATAAGGGGCTGGCGATAAGGGGAAAAAAACATGTATTAAAAAAGTACATCTGTTACTGCTTGAAAAGTATCTGTCGAATACTTTAAATCCATAGTTAATTATGTAATAAACTGTTTCCTCCCCACCTCTGCTGGATACATAAAATTATTCCCTGAAATTCTTACCCAATGAATTGGATCGTATATGCTCATCAAAACTAGTCTATGTAGAAGAGAGAGAACAGCAAAAGAAAAATGAAGAAAGTCAGTAAACCCAATATGCCAGTCTTCAAAAGAAAAAACTATTTCATTTTGATTTCTAGGTGATGAAATATAGCCTCCTCATGAAGGTAATAGCACATGACCAGCTGAAAAAAAAAATCCTCAGCTCTCCTAGAGGACACTGCACTTTGGCTGCACTGATTAAACTGGGACAGGTCTCTCAATAAACCACAGCCTTCTCCCCCACCGACCACACCCCACACCAAGAGGCCTACTTTGGCAACATGAGGACAGGTGCTGGGACCACGAACTGGAGGCAGATTTTCTTCCTTTTCTGGAAATGTTCCAGTTTCATGAGACTGTATTTTATTTTCTTCTTTTTTAATTTCTGACACCCAACTCTGAGAAAAAGAGAGAAAAATGAATGTAAATACACAATTTGAAATAGTTAACTAGACATTAGAAAGGACTGTACATTATCAAAGTTTCCTATAGGTCAGTTAAATTTTTAGGTTACAATTCTCTCTACCTGGAATGCCCTTCCTACCCTTTTTTTTTTAACTTTGGGAAAATACACATATTTATTCTCATTTTTAATTGTACAGTTCAGTATTAAGTATATTCATATTGCTGTTGCCCTTCCTACTTTTTTTCTTTTTGGATGAAGGGTAATTTATTGAATGATTGATCCATGTAATAGCCAAGGCCACTATGTACAGGTAAGAAAGGTGTAGCTTTATTTCTTTGTCTCTTCCTCCTTGGACAGAATCTTGATGATTTCTTCCTTCTTGGCCTGGGGCCGCTCTTCCCCGTGCTTGTGAACTTTCTCAGTCTAGACCTGCAGGCCTCAGCAGGGTCAGACAGAAGCTTCTTGCCAGCTGTGTCCACCTTCAGCTTGTGGATGTGTTCCATGAGAAACCGCTTGTTTTTCCACACGTTCCCCTTCACTTTCAGGTGCAGGCAGCGGCGGTCAGCCTGCTGACATTCACGGTACCTTCTGAGTAGCGGACAAAGCGTTCCCATCCTCCCCATCCAGGTTACTTCCTCAGGTGTTCGAGCATTGGCAGCAGCACTCTTTAGCTTGTCTATGCCCGTAGGCCTGCCCTTCCTGCGGGCCAAGGTGTTTTTGCAGCATCGAATGGACACACTCACAGGCCTCCGGAGATCAGATCATCATCTTTGATCAGCTTCCAAATCTGCTGACCAGAGCTGGCACTGGCCATTTCATGGTCTGGCTGGGTTCTAACCAGACACTGGAGGGGAGCCTCTTCTGAAGCCTGAGCGTTATACTGGCTGCTGTTGCTGCAACGGCAAAAGGCTGTCCTTCCTACTTTTATTTATCTTGCAAGATCTCATTCACCATTGCTTCCAGCAAGCTCCCCCTGAACTTCCGGGTTGGGCTAAAAACAGTCCTCATTCATGTATTAGCATAAAGATGTAAAATACTCTATTTACTGTTCATCTCTTTCACCACAGGGTCAGTTCCTTGAGGGCAGAGCCTATGTCTTAATCTCATCTTTGTGATTCAGGAACATAACAGTGTAATAGGTTCACAGTAGTTGTTCATTGAACTGAACTGTCTGTCACAGGTGCCAATAAAAAACTGATTAAGAGATTTCTTTATTATATATGAAAATCCAGACATTATACTTAATAATGAAAAGCTGAGTGACTTCCTCTAAACTGGGAACAAGATAACAATACATGGTCTCACTTCAACATTGTATTAGAGGTCTCAGCCAGTGCAGTAGACAAGTAAAAAAAAAGATAAGGCAGCCAGACTGGAAAAGAAGTTAACCTCTTATTATTTCTAGAGGACATAATCCCACATGTAGAAAATCCAAGAAATTTACAAAAAAAGCTACTAAAAATTGAATTTAACAGGATCACAGGCTACATGGTCAATATAAAAAGGTCAATTAGATAAATGCAAATTTGTAATATACAAATAAAGATTGAAATTAAAATTTCACTGATATGAGGTATTTATTTAGATAACTCAAAACTATAGAAACAGAAAGTAGAATGGCAGTTGCCAGAGGGTGGGGGTAAGAGAAGAGGCTGTTGTTTAATGTGTATAGAGTTTCAGTTTCACAGGATGAAAAAGCTCTGGAGACTGGCTGCTCAACCATGTGCCCACACCTAACACTGATGAACTGTACAATTAAAAATCATTAAGATAGTAAATTTTATATGATGTGAATTTTACCACAATGAACTGCTTAATTGGAGTGACTTAGAATGAGCATAAAAAATGAAATAAAAAATTACCTTTAAAATAGCATGAAATATAGTAAGTACTTAGGAATAGATTTAACAAAAAAAACAAAAAAAAAGCAAGGAGTTTACATTGAAAACTGTTAAGATTTAACTGCAAAAAATTAGACCTAAATGAATAGAGAAAAACATATAATATTCATGGATCAGAAATCTCAATATTGTTAAAATATCACTTCTTATACAACCGATCCACAAATTCAACACAACTGCAATCCAAATACAAGCAAGTTAGTTTGTAGAAAATGGCCAGCGAAGGACCTAAAACAGCCAAAACAACTTTGAAAAAGAAGAACAAAGTTGGAGGACTCACACTATCAGATTTTAAGACCTACTGGAATGGAGGCCGTGAGGTACTGGAGTGCAGATGGATATTTAAATTAATGAAACAGAATAGAGATGGTCTAGAAGTAGATCCATATATACATGGCCAATTGATTTTCTACAACAGTATAAGAAGTTCAATGAGGAAAGAATAATCTCTCATTGAATGATGCTTGAACATTTATATATCCATATTAGTATGTACATATGTGGGCATATGCATATACCATATTTTGCTGTGTACAATGCCATGCTTTTTGTGCATATTATACATGGATTATACCCATTATTATACCCATGAATAATATGCATTCTTAGTTTTCCATCAGAAATGTGGGCAAAAAAGTGTACATTATGTATGGCAAAAGATCGTATATATGTATATGAAGTCTGTCCAGAAAGTATCCAGCCATGAACTATGAAAAAGAGAGACACTTATTAAAGAAGATACAAGAAACATTGTACATAAGACAATGACACCTCAGTTCCTTTCAAAGTAGGCATGTTCTTTGGGAGAACCTCACACAGTTCTCCCAATTGCCATCAGCCTGCCCTATCGTATTTCCCTGAATCTCACCTACGATCTGAAATATGTTCTCTTTCAAAGGTGATTTCAGTTTTGGGAAAAGCCAGAAGTCACAGGGTGCCAAATCTGGGTTGTAGCAGGACTGAGTCACCTGGGTGATTTGATGTTTCTCCAAAAAACTCTACACAAGATGTGATGCATGAGTAGGTGTATTGCTGTGAATGAAGCTGCCCATAGCTGTGGCCTCCTGAATCATCAAAATAGTTTCTGTGGAGGATGTTCAAGCTTAAAGCAAAATTTGATGCAGATTTGTTGCTCTACTTGCTCAGTCATTTTGAATGTGACGGCCGAAAAGTACACATATTCATTCAACATGGTTTATTGCCCCCGCTGACTAGTACAGTGAAGCCATGGGTGTTCATGCATGAGCATTCCAGTCCTGGCTGCCAGGTTACATTGATATTGCGCAAACAATTCTCATTATATTAACAATGACTGGACTTTTTCCAGACAGACCTCAGAGAGAGAGAGAGAGAGAGTGAGTCCAGAAAATAAAAGATATTATAAACCTAAATTTAAGAGTTAAAAGTACAAATTTTCTAGAAGAATTATAGGAGAAAACATAGGAATCTTGACTTAAACAAAGATTTCTTGAATAGGACACAAAAGCACAAACTATAAAAGGAAAACTGATTTCATCAAAATTTAAAACTTTCGCTCTTCCAAAGATAATGGTACAAAATGAAAAGGCGAGACACAAAATATCAGAAAATATTTGCAAAAGATATGTCTAATGAAAAACATGTATTTTACAACTCCATAAGAACACAATCCAATTTTTTAAATGGGAAAGAATTTAAAGACATTTCACGAAAGAAAATATGTAGATGATAAATAAGCACATGAAAAGCCACTCCACCTCATCAGTCATTAGAAAAATGCAAATTAAAACCAAAATGAGATACCACCACATACCTAATAAAACAGCTAAAATTAACAAACTGACAATACTAACTGCTGACCAGGATGCAGAACAGCTGGAATATTTATCCATTACTGGCAGAATTGCTACTGTGGAAAACATTTTGGCATTTGTTCATCAACTGGTAAATGACTAAATAAACTGAGATATCCATACAACTCAATATTACTTAGCAATTAAAAGGACTAAACTGTAGACACATACAACAACATGGATGAATCTCAAAAGTATTATGCTAAGTGAGAGAAGCCAGACAAAAAAGACAACCGACTGAATGATTATATTTATGTGAAAGTCTACAAAAGGCAAATCTATAGTGATAGAAAGCAGTGGCTGCCAGGGGCCAGGGTGTGGAATCCCACTGATCACAGAAGGGCACGAGGAAACTTTTAGGGGGAATACAATCATTCTACAGCAAACACATTTGTCAAAGCTCAGGAAAATGAATACCATAAAATTGCTAATTTTTTAAATTTACATCTAGCTCAATAAAGCTGATTAAAAGAAATCAGTAAAGATACAAATGGACTATTAATAACCAAAGAAAAAATTCACATGACAAATAAATGCAAACAATTTAACTTTGCTAGTAATAAAAAAATACCATTTTTTCAACTATTTAATTGATTTAAAAATGTAAAAATGGTTACAGTATCCAGTGAAGAGTACCTGACAATGGGTATTCTTACACATGGTTGGGAGAGTACAAGGTTACAACTTTTATGAAAACATAGAAATATGTTTAAAAAGCCTTAAAAGTATTCAAATCTTTTGATCAAGCCATTTGAATTCCAATAATTTATATCAAGGAAATACCCAAATAGTACAAAAAAATCATAAACAAACATGTTTATATAGCACTATTTATAGAAGCTGATTGAAATGGTTCTTTCACAGGATGGGACACTATTTGGTCATTTATAATACATACCTGTGTACACACATACACATGCACACTCACAATGTCCTCCTGGGTGCCAGAAGCAACCAGTACTAAGTCATTACCAATAACAAACCCTCCGCTGACAAAAGAGAAAGCTAGAATTCTGGCTAAGATATATATATATATATATCATGGCAATGTCACAAAAACTGGTGTTACTCTATACCTTTATATCACCATCAATTTTTTCCCATTCTCCTGCTGTGAAACTGGACGCTGTTGCTGCAGGTTTATCTTTCCTCAAAGCTCTACTTTTAGGAGCCAATCCTGTAAGGCGCTTTTCACAAAATTCTGTAAGTTCAGGATAATACCCTTCCTCGCCAGACCTTTAAAACATTTCAGAATTTTAGAGTTACTACTTTATTTATTTTTAAAGATTTTATTTATTCATTTTCAAAGAGAGGGGAAGGAAGGGAGAATGTGAGGGAAACATCAATGTGTGGTTGCATCTCTTGTGTTGAATCCCCTTCCAGGTGCAGTGAAAGAAAAAAAGGAGCTCCAAAGGTACAAATTTCCATCACATGCTTTACAAGCCGAATAAACACTTTCTCTCCTCTTTACACACATAATGTTCATTTTGTACATAAGGTAATTTTAAACTTAAAAATGGAAATTCAGTAGTAGAGACAGGCAGAAAGTGAGGCTTTGGACTTCCTTTCCAAGGAGGAGCCCCTTGCTTCATTTTTTTCAAAGGCATAGGGAGAAAATGGCAGAGGCGCACTTTAGAACAACCTAACTCCAAATTCAACCACCCAATAAACAGAATTCCTTTTTTAGAGAGTTAAATGGAGACACTTGTTTTGTCTATTTATTTTTTAAAGGAAAATCAATCTTTTGCCCTTCTCTTGTAAGTCTGTTCGCACTGAAATTTTTAGAAAAATATAAATAAATCCTATTTTCCAATGCAATTATAATTTAATTAAGACATTCAGAGAATTTCTTAGAACCAACATTATTACTATGGCTTTCAAACTCTTTCATCTCACAAACTTCTCATTTTGTTTATCAGTCCTTGATGAAATATAAATGAAAATGTTCTCATAGTACTGCGAAAAGCAAAAGGAGAACCAACAGCATGGTTCATATTTCCATTTCAGAAATGATGAGGTTATTATATCCTCTCTGGCTGGGGACAAGCAGAAGTGCTTAGGGAGGTCATGACAATGAAGGTGATAAGAGAGAAAAAGCAAAGGACACAGCAGTAAGATAGGGGGTTAGGGGAAGAAGAGGGAGCCACAGCAGAGCAAAAAAGAAACTCTACTGATGTCCTGGAAAGGAGCAGGTTATGCTCCACAACTGTTTCACAGTATCAGGCTACTCTCCAGGGGGAAACCCCCAAGAAACCCAAAATAGGTGGCACAGGGCAGTGTTTCTTGAAGTGGGTTCCCTTGACCACCTGTATGGCAATCAGCCAGGCACTTGCTAAAAACATAGGTTCCTGGGCCCCACCCCAGATCTCCCAGGAGCAGAATCTCTGGGAATGGGACCCTCAGATTTGCATTTCTAACAACTACATGCGGTGTATATTAAAACTGAAGAATCACCGCCATGGAGTTTATACCCAGAGAAGGCCTTGACTCCCCACCTTCCAGTCCTACCTCCTGGCCTCCCCACCATCCTCCATGTGACCAGCTCGCAGTGAGTCACCCACCTTTGTTGGCAGATGGCAGTAAGTGGGAGAGTGCCAAAGAACTTTATCCGTGTAGGCTGGTGAGCTATCCTTACCTCCTACTGGCTACTCTCACAGCTACGTTTTCCTAGACAATGCGGAGGAAGCAAGAAAAATGCTCTCCTTGATACTAATTAGCCTAAGTCGCATGCTGGGAGCAGACCCAGGCAGAACACTCCAAACTCAGCAGAGGATCAAAATAACTATTTTGGAGCCTAAGATGGGCAAATACAACAAACAATCTTAACATCTGAAAATTTTCTCTAATGTTTCTAATGTAACTTCAACTTTCTGAAGAACAATATAATTAAAATTGACAAACTGAGACATGCTGAGATTAAAGGCTTACCTAAGCACACAGAGAATTTTTTCCAAGTGTTTAACATCTGAACATTTTTCAATATACTTGAAATCCAAGTGTTCAACGGGGATTTTGAATGTTTTTGTTGTTCCAAAGCTCCACAGTGATGGATAATCTTTGGCAGCCATGGCTGAAATACAGTATGGGAAAACAGTTATGAATCTTACTAGCATACTAGTAAGTATACTAGTAGTAGTATACTAGTATGTACACACACACATCCACACATATATTCAATTTGCTTAGTAGTAACCATCTAGGTACTTCTATAATTATTTTTCATGTCCATAGAAAAGGAGATGGAATGTTTTTTTCCCAAGTTGGAAGACTACTGATTTTAAACTCACTCTTTCTGATAACAATGGCTAACATTCATGGAGCTAAATTACTATGTACCAATCATGGATTATCTTACTTATTCTTCACTTAAGCAATGTTGAATACAATGACAAAGCAGGTTTTGGTGCTATGGAGGAGATTTCTAAAAAATCAAACATTTATTCTACCTGTTTAAGTTCAGTAACTGAGGCCTAATGAATTAAACTGACAAAATATACATTAACAGGAGAAAAGGTTTATTTTATGCACATGGATGCTTCACAAAAAAGTGAAAACTCAAAAGAAACTGTTCAGCCTGGTAGTCTATATATCATTTTAACAAACAGTGATAAATTGTGGGGAAGTACTAGGACAAAGGAAAAGGGTTTTTGGCTTCTAAGAGAAAGTAAATATATGAGAGAAACTAATCAAAGGGTTGTTTTAGTAAGATTTGTTAATGTGGACTCCACTCAGTGCCGACTGTCCCTGACAGTGATTAGGGTTGTTCTCATCCTGGTACAGGACAGGTGGGAGGGAGAACCTTACAAAGGGAAATTTATGCCCTTTGAGGCAGAAAAGGAGAGGACAGAGTTCTTCCTGTTGATTAATTTCTTCATCTCAAAATAATCATTATACCAAAAATGGCCTGCTATGGGATGGCATATTCTAATTAGCTTTAGTACTCAAACTGCTTTTTAGGATATCTTTTCCTGTTGATTTGAATGACCTGCTTCTACTTTAGCTGTTTGTTAATATCCCAACCATTCTTTGAGATTCAGCACAAACATAAATAACATTCTTTTTGTAAATCTCCTTAACATCACCCTCTTGTGCATTCCCTATGGCCCACTCCCATCAATGAACATCTCCCAGATCTGTGTTCTAATGGCACTCCGCACACACCTCTCATAGTACACAGCACATTCTAATTGTTTCTTTCTTCTCTTCTGGATTGTGAGATCTTTATTTATTCATCTTCATATTTTCAGGACTAACTTAAGTAGTGCCTTATATCTCTTATGAAACACTTGCTGAATTGAATTGATAATAAGGAGGCCTTGTACAGTTTCATTCTAATGCCACCACTGCTAATTATGATAGATATACTAACAGCAACACACTCAGTTTTTAATGTGTGCTAGGCACCACTCTAGTTCTTACATGTATTACCTCATTTCATCCTACAGGTAGGATCCTACCTACTTTATCAGGCAGGTATTTTTTTAAAAGCAGAGAACAGCAATAATAGTAGACATTTATGGAGCTAAATTACTATGTGTCAGAATTATCCCAATCTCCAAATCAGCTCTCATGAGGATATTAATAATGACTTCCATTTTACAGACAATGAAGTTTGACGTTTCAAGTATTTAAACTGCTCAAAGTCATAGAGCTATAAGTAGTGAATTGAGGATTTGAATCTCAGTAGGCAGCTACAGACGACATACTTAATCATCATATCCATCCATGTTCTTTAATGCAAGTGGCAACCCATGAAATCAATTTAGTAAGTTTCAATCAGCACTGTTTTATATTTAGAACATACAATTAGTTAACACTGTTCTGCAAAACTTTTATTTCATGTCTATACAAACAGAAATTATAAAGATGTGTAAATATAAACCCACATGTTGCAAAAAATTTTTTTATTGTAATTATCAAAGATTTTTTTAAAAAAATCACAGCACTAAAATATATTGGGTGACAAATTTTAAGTAGTAGCAATGGATCTAATTCATTTGAAGTATTTCCTTCAGCATGTCTGCTCTCTGGGAGCCTGGGCATATATCCAACCTCTGCAGAAAAAAAGGGTGCTCTTCCAGCTTTGCCTCCATATTCCTGCTGGCTTGAACTTGGATATAGAAAATAGGGTCTGGCAGAAGTACGGCAATTGAGTGTGGCTGGTAGGGTATGTGAATGTCTGGCATGAGATGGACAGTAATTTGAACATTTCACCTAAAATGTCATATTGTGTGCTTGAGTGTGATACTGTTATGTTACAGCATTGCATGCTTATGATTCTGTAATAAAATATTTGGTATAGATTACCAGCTCATAAAAAGGGGTGTTATTTGTGCCCAACCTTGTAGGTGTCAGTTCATCAGCATTTGGATGAGATACAGCCAAGAAATGATATAGTGGTTTTCACATCATACGGGCAGGGTCCACTGTGATGAATGTCTCCTTGCACAAGGAAAAGTTTAAGAGTGTAAGTTATAGGAATGCAACCTAGAGGACATTTAAAAAAAACAAAGATTTTTATTTATTTACTTTTAGAGAGAGGCGAAGGTGGGGAGAAACAGTAATGTGCAAGAGATACATCGATTGGTTGCTCCTCACACACCCCCAACCAAGGGACCTGGCCCTTAACCCAGGCATGTGCCCTACACTCGGAATCAAGCCCGTGACCTTACCGTGCGCAGGCCGGCACTCAATCCACTGCGCCACCCCAGCTAGGGCAGAACTTCTAAATTATGGATGCTGCACAGAATAGAATGGGTTGCTTTAGGAGAATTTTTCCAAAGAGCTAGAAAGTCTTTAATGGGAGAGATTTAAGCACCTAATGGGATTAAAATAGATTATCTCAAATTGAAGGTCTCTTGCAACACCTGAGATTTTATGATTTCAATAAAATTTAGTGGAAAACATTTGAAATGATAGACATCTCTTAACTAAGGAAACGCATTTCATTTTGAACACTATTTTAACATTTCTCCTAAAATTACCATTTTTCTCTATTTTTGTCTAGGATACACATTCTCAAGACCACTAAATATTAATTCTCAAATTCTAAAATACAAGTTATACAATACCTTACTTCATCTATTGAGAACTCTTCCATATATATTTGCATTTGCCTGATTAGGAAAACCTTTGGTCCTAGTTGGATTTAATTTCTTCTCCATCATCCTGGTCCACATCCATTTCCTATTCGGCTTATCAGTAATACTTCCAGTGAAAACTGCGATGAACTAGTAAGGCGAACACCTGTTTTCTTCCCCCTTGAATCTTCCACCTAAGCATTTTTCCGATATCCGCAGAGCGGAGCGCCCCCTGCAGCCGGAGGCCGAAAGAAAACGACAGCCTCCAGCCGTAGCAACGGTTTCTATGTACAACGCCGCTGAGTGCCGAGGGACTGGTAGCGATCCGGGAGCTCTATGCCAACCCGCAACGGTCAGGGGGCACTTTAAGACCCCATGAAATTGCTACCCGCTCCCCAGCTTTGGTCTCCAAGACTGGTCGCCGCCGGCCGACCCCAAGAACCTCCATATTGCGAATCAGTCCGAACATTCCCTGAAACAAAAGGTTGCCGTGGTTGCTTCCCCAGACCACGAAGTACGTTCATGCCGCAACACGATCCCTCACTCAAGTTCCACAGTGCATTTGCTCCTCCGCGTCCGCCATTCACCCCGGATCGGAGGCGGACCGCAATGGGGAGATGTAATTTACTCCTGGAGAGCTTACCTGATTCTGACTCCGCGCTCTGTGAACACGGCCGCAGCAAAAGTGACCAGCTGCGCCTACGTTGCCGAGGAAGGGGTGTGTTGCACCCCCGCAGCACCGAAGCGTGAGGGGCTGACCACCGGAAGCGGGGATTAGCACCTCTCCGAGATGATTGGCTAGTCCCCAACCTGCCATCCCGCTGATTGGCTTTAGAGGCTCATGCTTCACCAGGAGAGGACCTTTAGCGGGGAAATAAGCTGGGTGGGGGCATGAGAGTGCCCTATCTTCTACCTTTATCGAGGTAAAATGGTATTACTCTTTTGGATTATTGCACTACCTGCAAGTTACATTGATATCTACTCCTACTAAATTACACAAACATAATTACGTTCAGGGTACCCACATTGCAACCTAGATTTACCTCCTCCCCTTTATACAGAAGAGTGTATGAAGCCACGACTCCTCTTCTTTTTCATGCATTCAACATTTTCTGAGTGCTGGATATTAATCAGACACTGTATTGGGCGCTAGATACAAAAGTGAAGGAGACATACTACAATTGAGGTAATAAAACAAAACAGCAAAGATCATTTGTGGGAAAAATTTTATCATTTCATACTAGTTCAAATAGATAAATATAAAGCAACTAGTACACTGACACATAATAGTTAAAGAAATGTATTTCTTTCCCTCCTTTGCACTTAAATTACAGCCCTTGACACGCATTGGTAGTGATAATTCTATTGCTCAAAATATGACATTATATTTATATAATTATTCCCATTGCCAGCGCTAGAGATTAAATTTTCATGTTTATAGACCCAAGCTCAAGCTCTGAGTATTCCTTAAGTGGTTTACTAAATTCTTTGTCTTGGGGAACAAGCATCACATGCCACAGAGCATGTAAAGCCATTTCCAACTCATTCTAGGCAGCAAACTTTATTCAAAATTATGTCCTAAAACACTCAGCCTACTGTATCTTCATATTTTACTTCCAGCATAGGAAGAAATGCTTTAAATATTGGGAAAAGAGCTGTAATTCTACATGCCCTATAATTTTTTCACTCGTGTTTTTTTTTTTCTGGTTATAATTATGTACATAAACATTTATGCCAAATAAACAAGCAGGACAAAAAACAGCTTGAAGGAAGAAGACTATGGTGGCAAATGAAAATTGCCACTATGGTCTTTACTGAGAGAAGACTGCATCTAAGAAACAAGGAGACGTAACTATAAAGAAAAACTCAGTTTAGAAATTATAAGTATACCAGAAATGAAAAACCCAGTAGACAGATCAGGAAATAGTGATAAATCTTTACGGAGCAAAGAATGGAAAAGAAGAAAAATGAAAAAGTTAGAATATATTTAATATTAGATTTTTTGTAAAAGAACTGGAGAAGAGAGAAAACTGAGGGTAGGAAGTTATTAAATAATTCAGGATAATTTCCCATAATTGAAGAGCTTGGGTTTCCAGGTTCAAAGTACCCAAGTGATCAAAACAGTGAATAACATACAAAAGCACGTAACTATAAAATTTCAGTACATTGGCAAAAATTCTAAGTTTCCAGAGAGAAAATGGGTCACATGCAAAGAATTAAGAATAGAGTGGTTTAAAAAAAAAAAAAGAATAGAGTGATTTTGGACTTCTCAACAATACTGGAAGCTAGATGACGATAAAACAATCTTTCAAAATTCCGATGTTGGCGAGAAACACCAGAAAAGGTCATTTCAGGCAGAGAGAAGAGCTTCGGGAAAAGGGAGAGGCAAGAAAGAAAAACAGGCCTGATATTTGCTTAAGGAACTGCAAACATCTCCTTAGAAACAAAAGATTGAGAGGTGGGTTGAAGTGGTGACAGAGGTAGGAGTTAAATTATCAAGGGCCGAATACACTATTCCCCATCGTTTTGAGTTTAGCCAAATGGGGAGCCACTGAGGATTTTCAGCAGGACAGTACCATGCAATTTGTACTTTTGAAAGAGCAATCTGAACAGTATGGAGGATGGCAAAACCAGTAGCTGGGAGACTAATCCTAAGGCCAGTAATAACCATGAGTGGAAAATAATACCTACAGTAATGGCAATAATAAACATAGGCTAATATTAGTTTGAGTTTTTATGGATTATTTTATCTTGCAACAAACCTTTGAGGTAAGGGTTATTATTTCATGCCTATGGTACAAACAAGGAAAAGTGAACCGTGATAAAATCATGCTGCCAACTAACAAGGTATATTTATTCTTCCTCAGGACTGGTCATTTCTGATTTCTTCTATTTTTGGATTTTTCATAACCTCCAATCTCTAACTGTAGTTTCAGAGTCTCAAAGCACTGTACTGACCATCATTAATTTCTCCGCTTTGCCACTAAAACTAAAGTTAAAAGAAATGAAGTTAACTGGCCACTTACTGAGTAGCACGGGCTGGATATAAACCAATTTCTATGACTTCCTCATGGACATGCATGTCCAGTCATGGATAAGCATGATGGAATTAGAACAGTTAAAACCAACATTATCCAATGAGTTAGGGTTTGTTTAGGGGGTTGTCATAAAGAGATAACTTATTTGTTGGGACTCTTTTGTTTAAAAAGGACAAGATCAATAAGGAATATAGCAGAATTACAAAATTGTGAAAGTTGTGGCTAAAGGAAATCTGTACCAAGGAAGCACTCTTTAAAATTTTGAGCAACGTATTTTGTATAGCACATAATACATTTATAGAATTTAGTATTTGAGAGTGGTAGTAGAAATATTTTTTTAAAAAATGGCATGTTTTGAATGTCAGGGACACATATAGCCCCTGAGATCAAGACAAAAGTTTTAAACATGTATCCAGTAATCAGTGTAAACCAATCCCTATTCTTTTTATATCTTGAAAGTAGATTTTTTTGTTGTTGTTGTGCTTACTTTAATGAATGATTACACCTTGAACTGCACCTGCCTTAATAGTCTTCATCTTCTTTATGTGGGGTTGATTTTTCCCTGAACAGCAAGCAACCATTAGTTTTTTTCCCTTCCCTAAGATTTAAAAAATAATCAAGCATTATATACAAATACAGAGAGGCCTAGTTCAACAAATGAAAAATGAAATGCCAAATGATGTATGCACGCTGACGGTAAGAGCATTAGTATACTCCATACAAAATGATGCTGGAGACTTTACAAGCAGTTGAGAATACAAAATTTTATTTTTAACAAGGGCCCCAGTGATTCCAGGTTTTGATTAAAAGTGTGGTTGGGGAAGCACTTTTAACCTTCATTGTATTAGATGACATATACAATAAAATTAAATTACAAATAATCTAACTGAACAAAAATAATTTCCTTATATAAACTAATAATACACACCTAAATACAATATGATTTTTAAAATGAAATCATATGAACATAGTTGTATTCATAAAGATAAGTACACTACTCAAATCTATACAACATTAACAGCAAATCCAAATGCAAACAAAGATATTTCCCTGAATTCCATGTTTCATCGAGCATCAAAAACCACCACTGTATTAAACTGAGTTAAGGAAAAAAAATATTTAAACATTACATAAAAGACTTAATACTTCCATTCACTTTCTCTTTACAATAAACTAGTTTTTTAATCTAAAATGCACAAAAGTATGGAATTTGAACAGTGTGACAATAACATTTTTTGAAAAGCATTTTAATTCTTATTAGCTGTCTTTCCATAATACAAAAGACCAATGCACCAAAAAACACTGAAGCAATGTTAAAGGAGATAACATATTTGTATTTCTCCTTCTATAATTTAGTTTATCTATAAACTCAAACCCAGGAATGAATACTCAGTTAAATAAAGAATCCTTTAAAAATAGACTTATGAGAACTAAAATCAACTAGTGTTAAGATTACATAGTATGTACTTATACCCTGGCGTATTGGTCCATGATAATTCTGATTTTTTTTTTAAAGATTTTATTTTTATTTACTTTTAGAGAGGGGGAGGGAGGGAGATAGAGAAAGAAATGTGTGCAAGAGACACATTGACTGGTTGCCTCTCTCATACTCCCAACCGGGAGCCCAGCCTGCAACCCAGGCATGTGCTCTGACCAGTAATCAAACCCGCAACCTTTCTGTTGGCAGGTTGGCGCTCAGTCCACTGAGCCAGACCAGCCAGGGCCTGATCGTCTCTTTTTTTTTTTGGTACAAAAAGTTATTACCATTTTTACCAGAAATTAGTGTCTATCAACCCAAGCATTATTTTTAACTTCCTCCTACCTCATACTTAGAAAGCGTAGTTAAAAGGATACATCTTTTAGTCCTTTTCTTGTACATTATTCTGTATCCACATTCTCTGCATCGGATTGGATCCCTGGATTTTATTTCATTTTCTGTGTGACATTCTAGAAAGGAAAACACATTAATTCAGTATTACATATGAGCAAATTATCTTAACTATATTTTTCACCCAAAGAACTAAAATATATTCAAATTGGAAGGGTATGTTGCTATTACCAATATACTAAGGGTGAAAGAAAATAAGAGTTTGGGCAAGCACTTCTTCTAGGAATGAAAATAAAATCTGGAGAGGATTATTATGGTTGCTAAAGTGTTCTGATTTATAACTTTAATGATGAGTGACTCATTTAAGCCAAAAAGAAAATAATTTTTAAAAACTGAAGCTTTATCTTAGCTTTATCTAAGTGCTACTCTTACCTCCACAGATATATATCATTGGCTGCTGCTTTGGGGGTTGGACGTCCTTCTGGGTGTCCATTGTTAGTCCCTGAAATCACAGATTGAAATTCTGAATATTTCAAAGGGGCTCCTCACAAATCCAACCAGCCCTCATTTTTCTCAGAGAACGCTAAAAAAAAAAAAAAAAGTCCCAATTCCCAATCTTTACTTTTTCAAACACTATGTATAGGTCTGAAGGACGAGGCAAGCAAAAAACCCACAACATATTGCGAACTTACCTCCAAACTTGACACAATAATACTTTACACGTTCTTTCATTTATATATGTTATTGCATTATAATCTTTACAGCTCTTCTAGGAGGTATTACTTTTATTTTATAGATGAAGACACACAGGCTTAGACAAATTAATATGCGCAAGATTATTAGGAGGCAAAGGAATTCAGAGGTGACTGCAAAGCTCGCATTCTCATTTGGCGCAAGTATAAGTTCTATTTTTCCAAACTTTGGCAGGAGAGAACCAAAAATTTTTACCTCTCAACAAGGAAACATGCGACCCACATATACGGGAAGATTAATAACAGAATACTGCAACTCCCAGCTGCAAAACAATAAACTGAAAGAAACTAGGCAAAGGGCTAACACCATCTACTCTATCCCCAGACTCTCCCAACTCTAACCCAACACCGCACCTTTACACCACAAATGTCTTTCCATTTGTGGCCCTAACACCCACCCCCAAATCCCAATCAGTCAACTCCTCACCCACGTACCTTCTACAAACTCCTCACTCTCGCTTCCAAACGGAATTGCGGTTCGTCGTTGTGTTGCAGCCAACTTCCGGCGCTGGTCTGTGACGTCACGGAGTTCCCGCCCCTTTCTCCCCTTCCACTCTAGCGCGGGGCCGAGATACCGGAATTGAGCACTGGCAGAAAAGCTGGGACTTTCGCATTTTGGGCTGTGGGTGAAAGTTCCTGTTTTGCTTCCAGTTATTTTCATTTCTCAGGAAAGCAAAGTATTTTAACAGTTCCTTAAATTTAACGAGATTTGTTTTTTTGACTAATGAAGTGGGTGGAAAGTAGCACTTCTTCAGGGGGGCAGAGGGTTGGAGAGAAAGCGAAATGACAAGGGCCCTTGAAATTCTAGGCTAACCATTTCTCCGAGGAACGCAAAGAGTCCGCTCCACCGTCTCTTTTCACGTAGAAAAGCGTCTTTCAGGTTTTGTTTTTCAGATAATTTTATGTCTGTGCTGAGGCAGCGGAAGAGCCACTCCTTATCCGCCTCATAACTTGTTTTTGCATTTCGACCCTCTCTCTTTTAGACTCCTGTTCTCCCTCTCACCCATTCTTTTTCTCGTTTTACTGCAAAGGCTGACCTGGGGGTAACTACGTGAATTACTCCCACTTAAACTAATGGATTTTGGTAGCAGTAGCTGGCCACTGACCTTCCTTCCTTCTCTCCCATGTAGAGCTGTGTTTTTTCAAAGATCAAAATTTCAGTTACAGTATCAGTTGGGTTCACAATGTTTACATTTGTTTGCTTGTTTCACAGTAGGTATTTTACTTGGAAGAAGGGAGAAGAAAATAAAGTTACTAAAATTTATTTTTTTAGTTTGTTTTAAAACTTAACCAGATAATAATCATTTTAATAGGAGAAGCAGGTTTCTACCTTTTATTCTCTATGTCTGGTTTCTTCTTAAGCAGTCTATACTGTTTTCCCATCTTTCATTCAGCAATTGAGAACTTTGGGCTTCACCTTTCATTTCCAGGATGAGTTACATACAGCTGGTTGCACCTCCACAGATCAATTAGAGATTTAACTTGATCTTTCCAGTTTTCCTAGCTGCCAATTTTTAAATTTCTAGGGAAACATGGTGGAGTTTCCTGCTTTTTCCTCCAAAGACAGGCTAAAATAGAGCATAAATATTTTGACCATCAGCTCTCTTACAAAGTACCTCTCCTCTCAACCGAAGAGAATATTTCAATAAAACAGTCAAAATAAGCTTTCCTACAAGAAATATTAGGTAAAACCTTTATCAGAAGAGAAAGATGATGGAGTAATCCAGAAAGTGTAATTTTAGTCATTGTAAACTGACCTGGATTCTGAGTCTCCAGTTGTGGTACTATGATAATTCTGGCACAAAACACAGCCTATGGAGATCAGAATGGATGATGCTTGTAGAATACAAGTGTGCGCTGGACCCTACAGAGGGGTAGGGTAATGGCAACTGGTAACAAAGAGATCCAAAATTTCATCAAGAGTTCATATTTGATGGTAGTCCAGATCCAACACCCTCTTTCCTATCAGCAGAAACCAGTAGTTTTAGAAATACAATGAAGCATGGTCAGTGGAAGCTATTATCAATGGTAACAGTTAACTTTTCATGAGCATGTACTATGTGCCAGACATCATTGCATTTCCCTCTTCTAATGAGAATATTTGTCTTGCCATTTTGGATACTAATTCTTTTAATGCCTTATAAAATGGATATAGAGGTGCAACTTGATATTTCCCCCCTGGATCTGTTTTCATTTTTTTTCTTCAATGTCATTAAGTATATCTGCATGGTTTGAATGCCTTGGTGATTGGAAAAGTCTTCCATTATGTTTAACTGGATGGTACCAAAAAGCAGCATTAGATCTTGTGGAAAACAGATGAGTTTTAGAATTCTGAGGTTAGTAACAGGATGACACCCAATCCAGAAAGGGAAACAAAAAGGCAGGTTCCCAGGACCTTGCCCAACCAACTGTGCCACACTGGCCAGGCCCTTCAAGATGTTTTTTCCCTTGCCTCAAACATATCTTAGTTTCCAGGTATAACAAATTATTTAGTTTTTCTAATGCATCCAACTGTTTCAATTTTCATGATCTTGTATGTTTTGAGTTTGGAGTCCCCTGTTAACTGCCTTTTCAGTTGTCACTTGTCCTTCAAAATCCACCTCACTTTATGAAGTTAGCTCTGCCCCCTCATCCCTCTTTCCTTGTGCCACTATGGTTCTTCTATTATAGCACTTAATACCAGTGAGCCGCTTAGGGGCAATAACTGTACCTTACTCATCTTCGGATTTCCAGTACCCAAACCAGTAATTGGCAAATAGTTGAAGTTTAATGATTGTTAGTGAATTTTATTTAGTTATATGTCATTTTGTAGGCTAAGGGGCAATCAGATGAAGAAATGTCCAGTCAGAGGAGAGTGGCAGTAGCAGCTGCTATTGGCTTAAAAGCAATAGCCGAAGCTTTGAAGGTGGAGCACGGAATGATTAAGTAAGGAAAATGCTGAGGCAGGACACCTCATTTAGGGAAGAAGCAGAGAAGACCAGAAAAAGGAGACTAAGAAGAAGCTGCCAAGGGTAGAAAGATGGAGCCTGGCATATAATAGGTGCCCACTAAACAAAACATCCCTTTTTAGATGCCTAAAAACTAAACATAACCCTGTCTAGAAATACACACTGTAACCAAGTTAGACTTTCAGACCTTATTCTGTGTACATCTGTACTTCTGATCTAAACGGGGTCACTTTGTAACCTGCTTTTTAGACTTGACTGTCTCTGGAAACATCATCAAGTGACTATTCCCCTAAATTATTTTTAATACCATCCACTGTAGGACCTATTAGCTTTTCTGTATAATGCCCATCAAAGTGAGAATGAGAGGAAGAGCCTGTCATATTGGGAAGCCCTCGCGGTGCTTTTGGTGGGGATGGAAGAGTGGGCAAGAGAGGACCAGACCCCCAAGGGCGAAGGCTGTGGGTGGAGCTGGGTTCCGGGCTTGCGGGGCGCATGGCGGCCGGTGGGGGCGCTGCGAAGCCAGAGGAAGGGGCGGGGCGGGACGGTTACTCAGGGCGGGCAGTTCAAACCCAGGGAAACGCCGCGGCCCCACGCGAACTTGGCGTGGGGGTTGCCATAGCCAGGTGTCCCTGGGGGCGCGGCCGTAGCTCCTCCCCGGCGCACCCCGAGCGCTACCTCTCTCTTCCCTCCGCCCCATCGGCCTCGGCTCCCCGGTCGGCCCCGCAGCCCTGTAGGTGCGGCGGGCCCTAGGTCACAGTGACGGGAGCCGGGGGCCCAAGTGCGTGCAGGCTAGCGGGCCTCCGGGCGTCCCCCGGCCTCGGACCCGCGCCCCACTTTCCAGGTGCTGGGACTAGAGAGGCGCCTCAAAGCCGTCTACTTCACTCGCTCCGGTCCAGGTGACACCCTCCCAGCCTCCGCCTGTCGGTGGCTTTCTGGGCGCGGAGCCCTGGCGGCCCAGCCGAGCCTCCCTGGCAGCCTGGCCTTGGGAAGGTCGGGGAGGGACGCCGCGGCGAGACCGTTACCCACCCACCCGCGCGCGGGTAGCACCTCGGGGGCGAATGACGGCGCCCCGGCTTACACTGCACTTCCAGAAACCCGAATTTGAGACGTTTCCCCAGTTCTAAGAGTACCTGGAGAAAGCAAGGATATTAAAATTCCTGTTGTCCGGAAAAGCTGAAGGAAATCCAATGTAATTGAGGCCTTTTCAAGTGTTAGAAATAATTCCTGCAACGTGTACTTTCCGTACTCTTCAAATGCTAGCCGTCACCGTGCTGCCGCCCGGTTCAATCAGCTGTTCAGACTAGAGTTTTCTCTTTCAGTGGTATTTCTTTGACATGAATTTTAAAGGCCAAGTGAGAGATTTTCTCGTTTGGAAGCCTACGTAACTTTGACATTTAAGAGCTCAAGATTTACTGACGGTAAGATTTTTCCACTTTAACAAATGAAGGAGATTCCGTTTTCATACAGTTAAATAATAAGTATTTGACAAGAGCTTTTCCTTTCTTTTTCTTTTTTTCTCTTAAGAGCACTGTAGAGATAAGTGTTTCCAACCCCTTATCCTTAGTCGGTGTTAAAAACTGAGAATCGAAGAGGCTTATTTGATTCACCACTGCGCTGCTGAATCAGTAAAATTAAGTAGGTCCATGGGCGTGCCATTAATTGGCATGAATAATTTTAAATAACTTAAAAATTAGTTTTGAAGAACCAAGTTTTGTTTGAGACCAATGTTGTAGGGTAGTAGAAAGAGGGGCATGTTGACAACAGAGACAGCACGTTTGAGGCAACTTCAAATGTATAAGCGAACAGGTGAAAATCAGAAAGTTTTTTTTGTTTATAACGAGTACCCTAAGGTTTTTAAGGGGACAGGATGATGATATCTGCATCCCCACTTTGTTTCTCTTTGCCTCTCAATTTCCCAAATTCTAGCGCGGTGAGACACCTAGTGGTGAAGTAGTAGAATAGTTAACATTTGCTTTAACTTTTTAAAAAAGATTCCTTCACCTAATTTTAGCAAACGACATGAGCGAAAACTGTTACTTAATAGAATGATTCTCAGAGAGGGGGAAACATTTGTGGTTGGAGGTGAAATTTTAAAACATTCTATCTTATTAATATTTTGAAAACAAAAATTATTTTAAAATATACCAATGATAGAAAGCAAAAGTAGATAGTCTTGGCTGATAAGCATGTACAGAAGATAGCAGTGATTCTCAGGATCTGAGGAGATCAAGATCAGAAGGAAACGTGTGAAATTTACTAAAAAGGAATATAGGTTGAAAGACACTTAGATACTTCGCCCAGTAATCATGAGTTTCTAATCATTATATCATAAAGAAACCACTTCATTTTGTGGTTAGAGTAACAATTAAAAAAAACCCTCATGGATTCAAATATTTAACTGACAGGCATAAATACATTACTTTCATATTATAGCTTAAGTATATCTTGCCAGGATCTTTTAATAGCAAAAAGTCATATTTTGTCTGGAGAAAACTTTGAAAGATTGACAGTTGTCTTAGTGTCCTTTGAATACTCTGGAGAAACATCAGAAACAATGATAACTTTATCTTTGCTTCC